TCACCACATGGGCGTGAGCCCCAGAGCTCAACCCAACATTCAGCGGAAAGTCAAACAAGTGGGTGGGGCACTTTACTTCATCACAACAACCTGGGGCCTGGCAGGTGCCACCTCAAACCACTGGTGTACAAAGATACGGTGAAAAAAAACTCAACTGTCCAGTGACTTGGGACGTCTTTCCAATGTGAATAAATGTATAAATGTAATGTGTTGTTGTTGTCTGATAACACGGCAGACCAGACTGTGCTCAGTGGCTGAATGGCAGCAAGTACAGGCTTTCCATCGCGATTGGCAATATTGGGGAAGTGGGACTAGTTGGTGGCTCTTCCAAAGAGATGGCACAGGCACGATAGGCCGAATGGCCTCTTTCTGTCCTGTTCTATAATTTCTGCTCAAAACATTCACCAACGGCCATGCCTTTAGCTGCTACATCCTTATCCTCTGTGTCAATCCCTCAGCCTCACCCCCTCTTTATCTGGCTTTAATTCATCTCTTGAACCGTGTATTATGATCCCCTTCTGCCTCGCTCAGTGTCTGACCTCCCCACTGTGCAGCCCCCGAGACACTAACCTGTGTGAGAGACGCTGTGTAATTCACATTGTTGTTGTTTTGGAATGTGTATCAATAGAAAAAGTCTGAAAGGTGTGAAGGAGGAGTGGGGTAAACGGTGAGCTCCAGCCTTGTGGGGAGTTTGGGAATCCACCTCTTGCATGAATTGTTTGGAATTTTTGGATCGGCTGAACACACATACCCACCCACACAAAACCCCTCCTCCCATCACGCCAGCCCTCGCCAGGCTCTACTGGCTCCCAATTACTAAACGGATCAATTTCAACCCGCTACCCGCTACCCGCTGCCTCTGCTCGGCTGTCTCCAGCCTCCTGCTTGTTCCTTGTCCCCTCCACTCCACCATCGGGGGCCGTGCTTTCAGCCACTACTCCCCGAAACTCTGGAACTCTCTTCCTCTATCCCTCTGTCTTGCCGCCTCCCTCCCCATTTTCAAATCACATCTCAAGACTGTGCCTTACAGTCACCTCCTCCCGCCTCAGAGTCGGGCTCTAGAACTGTCAGACCTTCAGCCTCTCTGTCCCCACCCTCTGCAAATCCAGCTCAGTCCCACCTCACCCCCTTTGCCCTTCAAGGCACGTCTCAAGCCCCTCGTCAGCCCCCCACCTACCCCACCCCGCCACCCTCCTGATCCCAAACCCCAGCTCGGAAATCCCTGACTGTCAGCGCCTTGGGATGTCCTCCAACACGAAAGGCTCTGTAAGCCTTTGTATTGTTGTTTGAAGGATTGTTTCCTGTTGTGTTTTGTAGGTAAGAACGACGGCAGTGTTGGAGGACATCAGTATTTCCGGTGTAATCCAGGATACGGAGCGCTGGTCAGACCCAACCGTGTCAGCAGGGCCTCGGGGGCCCGGAGGAGGCGAGGGCCGGGCTCCGGCTCCAGCTAACCTCCGCAGCGAGGTTAGGCGTAACGGCAACGTCACCAGCTCCAACCCCAACCTGGCCGCGCTGGGCCCACCCGCACAGACAAGGCAACCAGGAGGAGGTGAGCAGAGGAAATCCTGGGCCGCCAGAGCAGAAACCTCAGTGAGCAGCCGGGGGGGTTGGTGTGTGGGGTGGGGGGGGGTGTAAACACTGACAATCAATCAATTGCGGGTGAGGGAGTGTAGAACAGTTGCCCTCTCTCTCCCATCCAGTTAAAAATATCAATACCTCTCTCTGCCCCAGCGCACCATCGCCTCAGACACCTAAGAACCGTTACGGGCATGAGAGCTGTGTAACACTAACACTGGGCCCCCCCCACCCTCTCTCTCTCTCTCTCTTCAGGCTGAACTAATGTCTTCTCAACACTTTCTCTCTTTTTCTCCCCCATTCACCAGCTCATCATCTCAGACACCACGACAGGGGGGGAGTGAGGGGGGAGATGCTGACAACCTGAGCTACTGTTTTTATATTAGATTTTTACTCGGTAACCTGGCAGGAAGCTGGAATGACACTTCTCCTAATAGGCTTGTGAGATATTGCAAACTAATGTACATTGTAATTAATGACCTTTTCTGATTCACACAAGGCTTTTATATATATATATTATACCAGAATCTAAATCTATATATGTGTATATCAGGACAATGTGATTTTCTGACTCGATCGGAAGGGAAATATGCTAACAGCGGGTGATTAAACATTATCATTGATTTACTGTTGTTCACAGCGACTTTTAATCAGGTGGAAATCGATGGGGTAATTTAAATTTTTTATTTAAAAAAAACAAGTGTCTGTCTTTTGTTCTCGCTGCGGATCTGGTTTGTGAAATTTCAGTGTCTACTGAGCTTTGGGCTGTCGAGTATAAACATTGGTACGGACTGACTGGGCTGAATGGCCTGTTTCGGTGCTGTACCCGGGATAGTCCCCACGAGGATGGTGGTCTGTCCCTGGGTCCAAATTTGGCCTCGTCTTGAGTTCAGCAACAAACTGGAACAACATTAACATTCTAAACCAGATACACTCATCACAGAAACACAGCTATTAATCCCCACAACACGATTCCTTCCCCGGGAACTCCCAACATCAGCAACCGTGGAATTTTAAATTATACATATATATGTGTGGGATTTGGTTCACGAAACTATGGTCACCTTATCCTGGTCCTCTGTGCTGCTGTTACCGTGGTTTTATGGAGTCCCGTACCGGTAGTGGTTAGACACTTGTGCCTTCGTGGGCCTCGCAGGCAAGAGGACCTGGGTTTGATTCCCGGGTAGGACGAAACCTTAGGCGAGTTTCCTTACTCCACACATCTCTGTTTATGTAGCAGTAAGTAGGAACTTAAGTCAATTGGCAGATCACTTCCAGGGGTAAAAATAATCCATCAAAAAAAAAATGGTCACTCAATCCACAACTCTTTTGTGGGTCACTGGCTGTGCACAATTGTCTGCTGCGTTTCAGCCACAAAATGAATTAATTTTACAGTATATTCTGTGAAGCGCTTTTGAGACACTGCAATGACATGATAAGACGTTATATCAAATGCAAGAATATTATTATATCGTTAATTATATTAACCGTGAAACCACAGGACTGCCTCAGAGACAGATCAATTTTAAATTAGTTTATTTTTTCCTCTACCTGGAAAGATACAGAGTAATAAACGCAACATTTTTCTTTAAAAAATAAATTTGTTAAAACAAACTGTACAAACGGCATAAAGTAACTTTACATTTGTTTCTGCGAAAAGTCTATGTCAACACAAGCACTAATCCAGAGATCGAGAGGGACCACACCATAGGACCCCAAAGTAACTGCTCGATCCATAGAATTAAAAAAATAATCTAAGGCTTTTTATTTAAATCCCATTCACATTTTCTATTTTAATGTTAAAAAAGTTCCTGTGAGTGGCCTCCCTGATCCAGGCCGCCTTTACTCTGTGCAGTAACCACGACCAGGACATCATGACCTTCCTCAGTGCTAATGCCTTTCCACAGCTGTGGGTTAGGATGTGGATGGAGTGCATTGTGTCTGTGCCTTCGCCTCACTCCTTGCCTTCTTCAAGGCATGTCTCAAAACCTCCTTCGAGCATGTCTTCGGCCACCCTCCTCCCTACCCTCCACCCCCAGCTCAGGTCCAAATCCCTGACTGTCTTGAGACATCCTCCTGACGTGAAAGGTGCTCTGTGCTGCCATGACTGAGATCCGCTAAGTCAACCCAACCCGTGACCTACCAGGGCTTTCTTCCCACTCAGCCGGTTAGCACAATGTTAGCCGTTAGCTCGTGGGGAGAAGCCGGTCATTGGTAATGGTGCAGTGGCTCATCAGCTGTGGGAGGGTTCACCTCAATTGATCAGGGTCTCAACTTGCTTCTAAATCTCCGCTGACAGGAGTGGGACATGGATCATGTGACTGCCCCATCCTGAGCACTGAATCAGTCAGCAATAGTGACTGTGGAACCAGGGGCCGTGAAACAAGGAGATCGGATTCCCCTGGTTTATGGCCTGAGTGGGAGGAGCGAGGGCTTCACAGATAAATGTAGTCAAGTATAGTGACTGTAATTTGTGTGCATATAAGAACAGAAAAGCCAACTTTCATTAAGACTCAATTCAGCGCAGTCATACATCTTAAGCGCCTGTTTGAGATGACCAACAGCTCGACATTTGGGGATTGAAGCGAAGGGGTATGAAGCTCCCCTTCTCTCTCCTCCCAACACTTCCCAGTCTCTGCTTTCTAATCAACTTTTACCTTGAGTTTTTTTTTGGTCGGCCAGGTGTCTGACACAGAAACCAATCACCGAGCTTAAGAGTATCCAAACCAAGCTGAGAATTCCCCGCTTCCCGCCTACACATGGAAATCCCAGAGATAGATTGTTGGAATGGAAAGCGCTCTCTCTCCCTGGAGGGATGCATCCTGGCTTACCTAATTCCGGAAAATATTAAGCGCAGGTTGGCAAGAGCCAATGCTTGGGCACTCCAGAGTGTGCGTTGGGGGGTAACTGCTGATATCACTGTCTGCAAGCTTTCCCGCTGCTTGTCCAGATGGGACCACCCTACCCATTAGTAGGGTTTACAGGAGCTGAGTGGGATGACTTCCTGCCCCCAGTGACTGGTCGGCCCTTCCAGGTCCTGCTGTGCTGTCATGAGCAGTGCCCTGGAATACTGTGGACCTGCCTGGCTCAGGAACCGGACTGGGAGACCGTCACAGATCGATCACTCCCTCACTGAGATTCCTGCACATTGTGGGAGTTGTGTGTAAGGCGTGTAAACAAACCCTTGTGCAACCGAGTGTTTTGTTGATTGTAAAGCTAAATTAAGGGCATTTTGCAATTCCCTTTGTACAAACCAGTTTACACAGCACATAACCTCCCGCTTTACACAGCTGTGTAATATGCCTGTGTTTACACAAGGCACATGATTCACGACAAATGATACTCCTACATTTACACATGGTTTACATACACACAATATACCCAGGTTTACTCGTGGTTTACACTGGCACACCACTAGCCCCAATGCTGCTGGACAAGGACTACAGAAAGCTGTCAGGGTTGGGCTGGCAAGATTAAGATTGTGTCCAGCCTGGCACCTGCCTCCACCAGCACCCAGGGAGGGAGCCCCATCACCACCCGGTAAAGGCACGGCCCATGCCGGTTACCAGACTTCACGGCTGGAATGCTGAAGCTGCGGCTACCAGGCAATGTTACCTGAATGATTGGGAGGGCATCGGATACAACAAAGTGGTGATGCTGAGAGTTCTCTAAAAATAACTCACCTCATCTACACACACTACAGTCACTCACTTCATCCCTTAACTGGTGAACAGTCCTAACTCACTGAGGACAACAGTTAGTGCGTTCGCTGTCCTGGATGCCTGCTGACTGGAGACCGTTGGGAGGCTGCCGTAGGCTACTAAATGGATTTAGTTTATCCCCCCCACCCCACCCAAGGAGCCAGGCTATCTCTCCACTCCACAATCCCAGCCATTCCGAAGGACATCTTTCCGTGATCCTCACCCCACCCAGATCATTCTCATTTCTTCGTTCGAAAGTCCTTGAGCCCAGACTGAGGGAGCACAAGCCAACGTTACTGGGCTGCTGATGGTGAGCGTCACTGGAGTGTGGGGTGAGGAAGGGTGTGAACTCGGGTAATAGCACTGTGCCAGTATTGGGTACAGCTTCATGGTTAGGAAACAGGTTCAAGTGTTTCACAGACATCGCTGTCTGCTGAAATCTTGAACACTGAGGAATGAAGAGCCAAAGCTTCAGGAAGCATTGCATCAAGACTGGCCTCAGGCGTTGGGCTGAAGACATCAGGTCCCCACTAATGTTTGACAATAAGACAAGCAGCTTCTTTGGCCAGAACCCCAGCCCTAGGGGACATGAGGCACATCCTCCCGTCCAAGGCACTGACTGTCACGAGTGGATGAGGAGAAGCTAAGCTCGCTGAAAACAAGATCATGTACAGATATATTGGGATTTACATTAAGGTTTGGTCGGTCCCACATTGCACCACATCTTGGTCCTGTCCTCCTCGCCTCAGTTATCCTCAATCACCTCAGTCTTTATCCCGCTGCCGCCCCCCTGTCTGGCCAGAGCCAAGATGGTGTGGTTGACAGCAGCCATTTCCACTGCCAGTGAGATGGGATCCTGCTGGAGGTCACTGGGACTTGTGTTATCGTCCTGCGGTTGGGGAGAAGGGTTGGAGCGTTAGGAAAACAGCAACTTTCTCACCATGAACAATGCTACCAATGGTGCTCGCTCCCCCACTGGAGCTCTCTAATCTAACCCCATTTTCTGCTCTTTCCCCCATCGTGTCTGTGTAGCTACCTCACTCCCAGAAGCACTCTCTCCTGAACCTGAAGACTCCTATCTCTTTCTCAGTATTTTGTCACATTCTTCCTTTCCAAACGTTGATCTATCTTGAATGACAAAAATGGCCACCTCCAGGTCATCAAATCACCCAGGACATCACTTCCTGTGTGAACATCACACACTTCCCGTGGGTACCCTGTAGACCGACAGGAGTTGCAGTGCACATCTGATCTCTGGTGTGTATCACAGGTTCATGCCTCAGTCCCACTAAATGGGACGTGGAGTCCTGCAGCTCAGTGGTTAGAGCACTCGCTTTGCAAGTGAGAGACCTAAGTTCAATCCCCGGGGGGTCAGGGCCAAACCTTGGGCAAGTTTCCTTACTCCACACAGAGCCTAATAATAATCCCTCCAAACAACAATAATAAATTGGTCATTTTCAATCCATGACTGTTTGTGGGACATTGCTGTGTGCAATTGACTGCCGCGTTTCACCCACAAATATACAGTCAACTCACTTTACAGCATATTTTGTGAAGCGCTTTGAGGTGTCGAGAAGACGTGAAAAGTGCTATATCAAATGCAAGGATTATTATTATTAAATGCTGAAAACGCTGGTGAGAATGGTTGCCGGCTTCTCGTGCTATTCGTGGCAAAACCATTGGGAACCTGTGATCCCAGAAGAGCCGCCTCACAGCCACACCGCAGACCCTGCACAGCACAGAGTCTGATCATATGGAGGAGCCAAAGTACAACACTTTACCACAGGGTCCCAACCCCTAATATAGGGAGCATTGCTGACCACCTCATCTCCAGCATTGAGAAGGAGTGGAATCCTGGGGTATAGTGGTTAGAGCACTCGCCTCGCAAGCGAGTGTACCTGGGTTCGATTCCCGGGCAGGGAGAAACCTTGGCATGTGGAATAACAACAAGCAAACAAATTACAATTATATAGTGCCTTTCACATCAGGAGGACGTTCCAAGTTTCCTTACTCCACAGGCCTCTGGTTACCTCGCAGTAAGTAGGAATCTGGTTGTTACAATTTGGTCATTCAATCCACGACTGTTTGTGGGACATCACTGCACAGTTGGCTGCCACATTTCACCCACAAAATATACAGTCAATTCACTTTACAACATATTCTATGAAGCACTTTGAGACGTCTGAACAAAGTGATCAGGCGGTATGTCAAACGCACGGATTATTATTATTAGTGTCCTAAAGGATGTTGACATGGTTTGTTCTCCTCTTTGTAAATCCACTCAGGTTCTTATGTGCAGTATTTAAAAAGGTGAGGGATTTAATGAGATAAATAAGGAGAAGCTATTTGCACTGGTCGGTGATGAGAGGGTGTAAATGTAAGATCATTATCATTTCCAATCAGACACGCAACACTCTAAAGGCACTGGTTGAAGCAGAATCCATTACAACAACAACATTAGAGTTCAAACAAAAATTGGGCAGATATTTTAAAAAGAAAAATATAAATGGAGTGTGGGGGAGAAGGGAAGGCCAGGGGAGTGGGACTAAACAAGAAGATCTTTCAGAGCACTGGCACAGGCACAATAGGCCGAATGGCCTCCTTTTGTGCTTCTAACATTGTATGATTCTTAATTGATTGAAACTGTTGGTTGAAGTCTGGAGATTGTCAGGACAATGTTTTTTTTACCGGGCGAGTGTGTTTGACACATGCGGAAACCCATCACCGGGGCTTAAGAGCATCCAAACCAAACCGAGAATTCCATGTATCCCACCAACACATGGAAATCCCAGAGTCAGAATGTTGGGATGGAATGTGCATTATTTCTCTCTCTCGTAAGACGAAAGGAAGACTGAAGGAAGTGAGGAGACCCATCCACTTAAGGGACAGTGAAAGGAGACTGAGTTTTGGGTTCAACAGTCAGTCTGTAGTACAGAGTAATAGTCTGTAAAATGCATAAACTTGGTCTCTATTTGGAGTTTAGAGGTTGAGGGCTGTTAGTTGTTAATCCGACTGAGGATCTTAAAATAATAAAGGGATTTGATAGGGCAGTTACAGAGAAACTATTTCCCCTGGCGGGGGAATCCAGAACAAGGGGCATCATTAAAATTAGAGCCATTTAGGAGTGAAACCAGGAGATAGTTTTTCACAAAAAGGTTAGTGGAAATCTGTAACTCTCTCTCCCAAAAGATTGTGGATCCTCGATCCATTTATACCTTCAAGATTGAGGTGGTGAGCTATTTGTTAGGAAAGGGTATTAAGAGACACGGGGCAAAGGCAGGTAAATGGACTTGCGGTACAGATCAGCCATTAAAGAATGGTGGAACAGGCTCGAGGGGCTGAAAGGTCTACTCCTGTTCCTCTGTTACAGAGAGAGAGGGAGCACGGACTGGAGAAAGGACAGGGAGTGTGACTGGAGGGAGAGCTCTTTCGGAGTTAGAGAGAGAGAGAGAGCGGGCACAGACATGATGGGCTGAACGGCCTTCTGTGCTGTAAAGTTGTCTGATTAGATGTGATTGTGGCTGAGGGCAGGGAGATGGGGATGTGCTGTTAACTGCTTTCCCCCACCTCCTGACACTCACCAACATTCTGGCCTAGCCAGTGCGGGACGGGCGGGTTGGCCTATTTGGGCGAGGTCCCGCCGGGCTGGTAGAGCCCCTGGCACCAAGCGCCAGCGGGAGTGACCGCCCTGGGGACAGGAGGAGAGAAGAGAGAAGAAAACGGTGAAGAATAAATCTTGGCAGGAACCGCGAGGCAGAAAAGAAAGCGGTTCTTTTATAAAGTGCTCCAGAGAGTTTCACCCAAAGCCACACATCAACAGCCCTCACCTGCTCCAAGAAATCACTCCCATCAATGTCGTCGCTGTTGGAATGAGCTCCCGGGCTCTGCACATCGATGCCATGCGTTTCCAGGATTGCTGCTTCTTTGAAAAAGCAGAAACATCCATTAAAAATACATAATAATTAATAATTATCCTTGCATTTGATACAGCACCACATCACGTTGTTGAGACGTCTCAAAACACATCACCGAATATACTGCAAAGTAGATTGACTGTATTTCGTGGGCAAAACATGGCAGCCAATTGCACACAGCAGCGTCCCACAAACAGTCGTGGATTGAGTGACTAAATTGAAAAAAATGAACATGCAAAAGAACAACCTCTACTCAAAAGGGCAGACATCTTTTAGATTCTTTTCTTGCTCAAAAAAACATCTAAAAATTGTGATAGAAGTTCAGGAAACATAGGCCCCCTTTCTCGTCTCCGTCTCAAGACCTTCCTCTTTGACCGTGCCTTTGATCATCCTCTCATCCCCACTCCCATTGCCCTCCACCCCTTTTAATCCTAATCCCCAGCTCGGGTGCCAACCCTACACTGGCCAGCGCCATGGGATATTAATGGCTCCAGCACAGACACGATGGGGAGAGAGAGAGAGCAGGGAATGGGGTTAGAGTAGGGAATTCCGGCACAGACACGTTGATCTGAATAATAATGATAATAATCCTTGCATTTGATATAGCGCTTTTCACGTCGGGAGGACGTCCCAAAGCGCTTCACAGAACACACTGTAAAGCGAATTGACTATAGTTGTGGGCAAAACGCGGCAGCCAATTGCGCACAGCAATGTCCACAAACAGTCATGGATTGAGTGACCAATTTATTATTTTTTTCTTCTTGAGGAATTATTATCCGACGTGTGGAGTAAGGAAACTTGCCTAAGGTTTTTCCCTGCTGGGAATCAAACCCAGGTCTCTCACTTGCGAGGCGAGTGCTCTAACCACTGAGCTACAGGTCTACCACCACATTGAATAGACTCGTTCTGTCCTGTAAACGGTCTGTGATTCTACAACTTCCTTAAACATTACCAATGTTTGCTCTCTTCTTGATCTCCTTCCTGCGGTTGGCAAACCAGTTGTACACCTTCAGTGGGGTCACTCGCTCGGTCTCCGTTAGCTTCTTACCTACAGACAGAAAACCACACAGTAGCAGATCATGTCAGGTTTAGCCGCCAAAGCCCTGGGTTTGTGGTGATACCCGACAATGTGGACAGGCAATGATCCACTGCCGTGTGCCCATAAACATTGCTCTATGAAGAGACTTGCAATCCCTTCATGCCCTGGAACCTCCCTACCTTTCTGACCTGCTTTCTCCCCACTCCACTACCTGCTGCCTCTGCTCGGCTGGCTCTGACCTTCTGCTTGTCCCTCATCCCTTCCACTCCACCATCAAGCTTCTTGTTGTACTGGCTGAAAGCGTGGCCGCCGATGGTGAAGAGGAGGGCATGCAGAAGGCCCGAGCTGGCTGAGTGACGGAGTGGGTGCGAGCAGAAGGAGGCAGGGAGGTGCTACCCAGTGAGCGGGGCTGGCATTCTGTAAGTCAATCCCACCTGTTAGATTATAGAAGTTGTAGTCTAATAATAATGAACATTAAACAAATGTAGAATGGAGAAAGTACTGACGGTCATGGGATAGGACACATCTGGTTTGCTCTGTTTCTGAAGGAGTAACAAGGCAGCTGTGGAAAAGGGCAGAGGATTACCACTTATCAGTAAATAACAACAAGCCCACAGAGGTAACGGTCCAAGGTACCGGTCGACACAGGATCTCAGCTCAGCAATAAGCCGTTAGATTCTGACAGGCCCCGCATATACCATAGCAACAAATGAGCAAGTTGGTCAAACTGGAGGACTTTGGTACCATCCCAGGAATGTACTAATGGTTACACATAATAAAGTAACGAGCACCAGATACAGCCCTAAACCGATCAATCTCCTATCTTAGACAGGACAAAGGGAAGACCTCGTGGAGACTCGGTCAGGCTGGCACCAAGCCAAACGATTGATTAACCTGAGCACGTGACAGTATCAGAAGTGGGTAGAGGGGCCCTAGGAAGGACACTTGGAGAAAGGGTATAACTAGCCCACCTCTAGGTGAGAACAGTTAGAAGAACAGGAAGACTCCAGAGAGAGAGAGAGAGAGAGAGAGAGAGACGGAGTGTGGAGAGGTCCCTTTAAGAATCACAAGGAAGGTGTTCCATGATGTTGTGTGACTATCTTCAAATATAATTTGTTAGACAGTTTCAGTAACTTGTTAATGCATGTTGTGTTCACTCTGTTCATAATAAACCTGACTGCACCATATTTGGACTGTCGAGTCACATTTCGAACTATGGGATCGGAAATCCCAACACACTCCTGAAAGCTATCCCACCAGCTGTGTTTTATTTAAAGTTATGCCTCACCTGGCTTCTGTACCACTGCGTTGCAGGCGTTAGAGATCTCCTCCCTCTTGGCTTCATCGGGATATTGATTTTCATGGAAATAACTAAGTGAAGAAAAGCACACAAGATATTCCATCAGGTGACACCGCACAGCCCCGGCCAGTCCAGAGCTGGCCATCAGTCAAACCTGCCTTAGAGAGAAATCACCTCATCACATCGAAAGGTCTCGTAAAAGCTTTATAGTCCAGTAAAACTCACATACGTCGTATCCCTCGGGTTTTATAACATTTAATATGACTTGCATGAAGTCCGAGTTGTAGACAAACTGTATAAGTCGTTGAAAATCTGATTTAATCAATGAACTACTCTGTGCACGTGTAATTCAATGCAGCTGGTAAGTGCGCATGTGGTGATAGATTAAGACTACATTTCCCGTGATTCAATGAGTCTTCACCCGTCACCACATGTGCACTTATCAGCAAGTGTTGGAATCGCAGGATATCAAGTTCTTTCTGCTCATGCGTCGACGGTCAGGGCTATGATTGCCATAATTCAGCGCAGCCGGTAAGTGCGGGAGTAATGGAAGGCAGGGGAGTGGCATTATGAGTTAGGAGGTGATTGATACAAATAGTTTAAATCCGATGGCCTGGTCAAAGAGGAGAGTCTTGAGGCAGGACTTGAAGGAGGCTAAGGAGGGGGCGAGGCGGAGTGACTGGGGGATGGAATTCCAGAGGTTAGGGGGCAGAGTTGCTGAAGGCTCTCCCGCCAATGGTGGGGCGGGTGGGTCGGGGGACAACAACAACAACTTGCATTTATATAGCGCCCTTCCCCCAGGGTAGCGTCCCAGACCGCTATAAGCAAGGACAGGATATTTGAGGGTTTGCCTAAAAATAAGCAGTCACCACACTTTACAGAAAAACTATGAAGCGCTTTGAGACACTGACGTTATAGAGCCACTTCAAGTGCCGGGATTATTATTATATGGGCAGATTCAGGATTTGGGCAGATACATGTTATTCAAATTTAATGTAGAAACGGCAGGGGAGTGAGAGCCCACAGACAGGTTTTTATAATAATAAAATAATAATCCTTGCATTTGGTACAGTGCCTTATCGCATCGTTAAGAGGTCTCAAAGCGCTTCACACAATATATCGTAACAAGATAGATGAATTAGTTGCACAAATAGAGGTAAAAACCGGTATGATCTAGTAGCCATCACCGAGACATGGTTTGCAGGGTGATCAGGGATGGGAACTGAATATTCCCGGCTACGTGGTATATAGGAAAGATAAGCGATGTGGTAAACGAGGAGGGGGCGTGGCCCTGCTAATAAAGGATGGGATAAAAACAGTAGAGAGGAAAGATTTTAAATCTGAAAAGCAAGATGTAGAGTCAGTATGGGTAGATAATGTAACTTCAAGGGGCAGAAAACTATAGTGGGAGTAATAATAATAATCCTTGCATTTGATATAGCGCTTTTCACGTCGGGAGGACGTCCCAAAGCGCTTCACAGACCACACTGTAAAGTGAATTGACTGTATATTTGTGGGCGAACGCGGCAGCCAATTGCGCACAGTAATGTCCCACAAACAGTCGTAGATTGAAAATGACCAATTTATTATTGTTTTGGGTTTTGGAGGGATTATTATTGGGCTCTGTGTGGAGTAAGGAAACTTGCCCAAGGTTTCGCCCTCTGCCTGGAATTGAACTCAGGTCTCTCACTTGCGAAGCGAGTGCTCTAACCACTGAGCTACAGGACTCCACAGTAGTTTATAGACCCCCAAACAGTGGTCAAAGTATCGCTCAAGGTATAAATCAAGAGATTAGTGGAGCATGTAGCAAAGGAAAGACACTAATTGTGGGTGATTTTAACCTGCACATAGACTGGGACAACCAAATTGGGAAAGGTAACATAGAAGAGGAGTTTATAGAATGTATTAGAGATAATTTTCTAGATCAATATGCTGAGGAGCCGACCAGGGAACAAGCCATATTAGACCTTGTTTTGTGTAATGAAACAGGGCTGATCAGCAAACTGGAACTTAAGGCTCCTCTCGGGCAAAGCGATCATAATATGATGGAATTTAGCGTTAAGTTAGAGAGGGAAGTAGTTAAGTCTGAAGCAAAAGTCTTCAATTTAAATCGAGCCAACTTTGCTGGTATGAGAGAGGATTTAGCCAGAATAAACTGGGAGACTAAACTTTGACGGTAGACCAGCAATGGCAGACATTCAAGGAGATAGTGCAAAATTCCCAACGAGCACATATTCCTTTGAGGAATAAGAATGCCATGGGAAAGGTGGTGCAGCCATGGCTAACTAGAGCAGTTAGGGAAAGTATCAAATCAAAAGAAAAAGCCTATAAAACAGCGAAGATGAGTAGTAAACCCGAGGATTGGGAGAACTTTAGGGAACAACAGAGGAGGACCAAAAAATTGATCAAGAGGGAGAAAATAGATTACGAGGGCAAACTAGCAAACATAAAAACAGACTCCAAGAGTTTTTACAAATATATAAAGAGGAAAAGGCTAGCGAGGGTGAATGTGGGTCCATTACAGGCAGAGACCGGAGAAATTATAATAGGTGACAAAGACATTGCGAAGTCATTAAACAAGTATTTTTCTACAGTCTTCACCGTAGAAGACACTGGAAACATACCAAAAATAGAGGACCAAGAAGACAATGTTAGCGAGCAACTTAGGGAGATTAACATTAGTAAAGAGATGGTTCTAGGTAAATTGTCGGGTCTTAAAACCGATAAATCCCCTGGACCGGATGGCCTGCATCCGAGAGTTTTAAAGGAGGTGGCTACTGAGATAGTGGATGGCATGTCTATAATCTTCCAAAAGTCTGTGGATACTGGAAAAGTTCCCATTGATTGGAAGATTGCAAACGTAACTCCACTATTTAAGAAGGGTGGGAGAGAAAATAGGGAAAACTATAGACCAGTTAGTTTGACGTCAGTTGTAGGGAAAATTCTTGAGTCCTTAATAAAAGACGTAGTTATGGGATACCTGGAAGACCATAAAAAGATTAGGCAGAGTCAACATGGCTTTACAAAAGGGAAGTCATGCTTGACTAACCTTTTAGAATTTTTTGAGGATGTATCCAGCAGGTTGGATAAGGGGGAACCAGTAGATGTGGTATATTTGGATTTTAGGAAGGCATTTGACAAGGTGCCACACAAAAGGCTGTTACTCAAGATCAAGGCCCACGGGATTAATGGGAAAATATTAACATGGATAGAAGAGTGGCTATCGGGTAGAAAGCAGAGAGTAGTGATAAACGGATCATTCTCGAATTGGCAGGATGTAACTAGTGGAGTGCCACAAGGATCAGTGCTTGGGCCTCAGCTATTTACCATTTACATCAATGATCTGGACGAGGACATTGAATGTAATGTGTCTAAATTCGCGGATGATACTAAACTAGGTAGCAGAGTGAGCTCTCAGGATGATGCAAAAAGATTGCAACAAGATATAGATAGGCTCGGGGAGTGGGCAAGTAGGTGGCAGATGGAATTCAATGTTAGCAAGTGTGAAATTATTCACCTAGGTAGCAAGAATAAAAGAACAGATTATTTTCTGGAAGGGGAGAAGTTAGATAGTGTTAGTATTCAAAGGGATTTGGGTGTCCTTGTACACCAGTCCCAAAAAGTTAGTTTGCAGGTGCAGCAGCAACTAAGAAGGCGAACGGCAGTTAGCGTTCATTGCGAAAGGTTTAGAATATAAGAGTAGGGAAGTCTTGCTGCAACTGTATAGGGCTTTGGTGAGACCGCACCGAGAGTATTGTGTGCAGTTTTGGTCTCCTTATTTAAAAAAGGACATACTTGCCCTCGAGGGGGTGCAGCGTAGATTCACTCGGTTAGTTCCTGGGATGAGGGGACTGACCTATGAGGAGAGGCTGAATAAACTGGGGCTGTATTCTCTAGAGTACAGAAGAATTAGGGGAGATCTTATTGAAACATATAAGATTCTTAAAGGGCGGATAAAGTAGACACTGAGAGACTGTTTCCCCTGGAAGGAGAATCTATAACCGGGGGTCACAGTCTGAAAATAAAGGGTCAGCTTTTTAGAACAGAGTTGAGGAAACATTTCTTCACTCAGAGGGCAGTGACTTTATGGAATTCACTCCCCCAGAAGGCTGTAGATGTCAGTCCTTCAACATCTTCAAGGCTGAGACTGATAGATTCTTGAAAAATAGAGGGATTAGGGGATATGGGGAGAGGGCGGGTAATCAGAGTTAGGTGAGAAGCCATGGTCTTATCAAATGGTGGGGCACAGGCTCGAGGGGCTGAATGGCCGACTCCTGCTCCTAATTCTTATGTTCTTATACTGTAAACTGAATTTACTGTATACTTTGTGGGTGAAACACGGCAGCCAATTGCGCACAGTAGCGTCCCACAAACAGTTATGGATTGACTGACCACATTATTATATTATATAATAAAATATATATATTAGGCAGAGGAGATTGAGGAGATCACAGATGGAGGTGAGGAGATATTGTTGGGAGTTGAGGAGAAAAGCTTCCGTCTTGTTCATATTGAGCTAAATAGCACACACCTGTATCTGGGCAAAGCACATTATACACTATGTGTATCCACAGTTTACCACAACAACAACAAATTACGTGTATAGCACCTTTCAAGTCAGGAGGACATCCCAAGGCGCTGGACAGTTAAGGATTTGGATCCGAGCTGGCGGTGGGTGCGGGTTTGGTGGTGTTGGAATCAGGGGGGTTTGGGGCAGGGAGGGTTGGAGGGTGGTCGAATGCGTAGTTGAGAAGGAGGGTCTTGAGACGTAATTTGTGGAGGTGGAGGAGGGGGCCAAGATCAAGGGCCTGGGGGATAGAGTTCCAAAGGGTAGAGCAGAGAGGTTGCTGGCCCGACTGCTGATGGTGGAGAGATCCGGGCGGGGGACGTGGAGAAGGCCGGAGCCTGCGGGGCTAAGGGGGAGGCAGTCACCGGTGCGCTAGCATTTACATGCGGTTTACACCTGAAGCCGTACCTTTCCATGACGGTCAGACACTCCTTGCGCCAGGTGAAACGGCTGCCCCTCCGCAGGCGAAAGCTGCCAAAGCCGGTGCCCAAAGGTGTTGACGTCTGTTTCCACTCCAGCTCCTCGGTGGTGGAGGAGGCCAGCCTCATGCTCAGTGTGGCTCCTCAACAAACACAAAAGAAACCCTCACTCAGGCTCAACCAGAGGAGAACTGTAAACTCCTGATAACTCGTCACTCCAGGCCTTGGTCACACAGTGACCAGTTATCAGGAGCGGTGAGTCAGGCTCAGGCCATATTTTTTGGCCCAAATCATTTCCGACATCATTGTCCGAAGAGCAAATCCAGGCTACATGCAGGCCAGGCCCCGAGCCAATCAAGAGGCGGTCACCAGGGACTCAGGCACTGCCCGGCAATGGGACTGGCCAATCAAGAGGCGGTCACCAGGGGCTCAGGACTGCCCGGCAATGGGACTGGCCAATCAGGAGACGGTCACCGGGGTGTCAGGCACTGCCCGGCAATGGGACTGGCCAATCAGGAGGCGGTCACCGGGGTGTCAGGCACTGCCCGGCAATGGGACTGGCCAATCAGGAGACGGTCACCGGGGTGTCAGGCACTGCCCGGCAATGGGACTGGCCAATCAGGAGACGGTCACCGGGGTGTCAGGCACTGCCCGGCAGTGGGACTGGCCAATCAGGAGACGGTCACCGGGTGCTCAGGCACTGCCCGGCAATGGGACTGGCCAATCAGGAGACGGTCACCGGGGTGTCAGGCACTGCCCGGCAATGGGACTGGCCAATCAGGAGACGGTCACCAGGGGCTCAGGCACTGCCCGGCAATGGGACTGGCCAATCAGGAGAAGGTCACCAGGGGCTCAGGCACTGCCCGGCAATGGGACTGGCCAATCAGGATAAAATATTGGTCTTGTGGCCGGTGGACATTTCTTATATCCGACGTCTCAAAGCCCTTCACAGAATATACTGTACAATGGATTGACTGTAATTTGTGGGCAAAACGCAGCAGCCAATTGTGCACAGCAGTGACCCACACACTGCCGTGGATTGAATGACCAGTTTTTTGGGGGAAAGCAATCCGCCAATCAACGAACAGCCGGGTTCCTACTGACTGCTGATAAACAGCGGCGTGTGGAGTGAGGGGATGTGCTCATTGCAGGAGCTGAGCAAATAGGCTGATCATCGCTGTCAGCAGACAGTGGAGATAATGATCTAAATTGGAGTTTCCTACACCCAAGCCAAGCCGCTGGCCGTATTACCTGGGCTGGTCTTCTCCAAGAGGTACCACCTGTACAAGGCTCTCTTCTTAAGTTCACTCATATCAAGTCCCTGCTGCAACAGCCACTGCGAGATGAAGCTTCGGCTCATACCTGTAACCACACACACACACACACAGATACACAGAGACACATACACACACACACAGAGCAGCGATCAGGTCAGGCTGTGCCGCTCCACAACACGCGCTGGTCATACAATCGCTGGAAGACGTTCACTGCGCCGGTGCCGGCTCTCAGATAGAGCTCTCCCTACATCCCACTCCACATGCCCTTCAGCCGACAATCACCTGCGTGGAGAGATTAACTGTGGTGTCAGCCTGACTGAGCCGGCAAGACTTTCACCTCTGGGTGCTAAGCACTGAAGGTTTAAGGCACCCGTGGGGTATTCAAATTCAGTTTTGGCCGACAGACTTAACAGGGCGTCTGATTAAACCTGTGCCTTTGTAAGAGGGCATATGTTCAGCGGTGTGAATAATAATCCTTGCATTTGATATAGCACCTTATCATGTCATTGAGACAACTCTAAGAGCTTCACAGAGTGTACTGAAAAGTGGATTGACTGCATTTTGTGGGCAAAGTGTGGCAGCCAATTGTTTGCAGATGTGTCCCAGAAACTGTCTGGGATTGAGCGACCAAATTATTATTATTAAATTTTATTTTTGACGGGATATTAACTCTGGATAATGATCTAACAACCAGGTTGCCACTGAATGCTAGGCAAGCAGAGGTGTAGGGAGTAAGGAACTTGCCTAAGGTTTGGCCCTGCCCAGGAATCAAACCCGGATCCACTCGAGTGAGTGCTCTAACCACTATGGTACAGAGCTCCACAACTGAAATTGTTCAGACGATTTCAGATCAGACACCAGGAAGTATTTATTTAAACCCAAAGGGAGAACTAACAGCTGGAACAGGGTTACTAGGAAGGCTGGTTGAAGGGTCTAAGAAACAGTTCGATGTTGTAACAGGAGGATGGGATGGCGGGAACAATGAGCTCAATGGGCCAAAGGGACATTTTAGTTGTGATTAACCCAACACCCAGTGACAATCTAACTTCAGTTTAGACATTGAATCACGGTAACAGGAGGAAGCTATTCAGCCCCTCGAGCTTGTTCCGCTATTCCGTAAGATCATGGCTGATCTGTACCTCAAGTTCAATTTCCTGCCTTTACCCCATATCCCTTGATACTGTGATCTAACAAATGTCTATCCACCTCAGTCTTGAATATGTGAATGGATCCAACATCCACAGCCTTTTTGGGAGAGAGAGCTCCAGATTTCCACTACCCTTTGGGTGAGAAACTGCTTCCTGGTTTCACTCCTAAAAGGCCTGGCTCTAATTTTAAGATTATGCCCCTTGTTCTGGAGGAAATAGTCTCTCTGTAGCTACCCTATCAAATCACTTTACTATTTTAAAAACCTCTCAACTAATAGCACTTTAGTCAAAGAATTGCGCTTGTATAAATGAGCTGTAAAGTCTGGTCTCGCCGGGGGACACTCACCTGTGACTTGTCCCACGATGTTCTGGGAAATCATCCGATTAGAGAGAAAAGCCTTGATCTCTTCCTTTACTGCAACGTTGTCCCTCCTGCAGGGCAGAAGAGACAAGGAACATCACTCCCATCATACACTGAGCTACAGGGCTTTCAGTAGTGAAAGGTGTTATAATTATTACCTGCTGTGGATATTAGAGCATTGAAAAACGCAATTAATATTAGTAAAGAAATGGTTTTAGGTAAATTATCAGGTCTTAAAACTGATAAATGCCCTGGACCTGATGGCCTACATCCTAGGGTTTTAAAAGAGGTGACTACTGAGATAGTTTGTCTTTGAACTTCCAAAATTCTGTGGATTCTGGAATGGTTCCCAGTGATTGGAAGATTGCAAACGTAACACCACTATTTAAGAAGGATGGGAGAGAAAAGATGGGGAACTATAGACCAGTTATTTTGACATCAGTCATCAGTACACCAGTCTCAGTTTGCAGGTGCAGCAGCAACTAAGAAGGCGAACGGCATGTTAGCGTTCTTTGCAAAAGGTTTAGAGTACAAGAGTAGGGAAGTCTTACTGCAACTGTATAGGGAACTTGGTGAGACCGCACCTAGAGGATTGTGTGCAGTTTTAGTCTCCTTATTTAAAAAAAAACATACTTGCCCTAGAGGGGGTGCAGAGTAGATTCACTAGATTACTGGATTACCAGATTCACTTGATCCTCCAGATTAAGCAGTTATTCATTTCATTGCTTTTTGAACAGAGAGCCCAGCAGAGTGAGGAGGGAACTGAGTGAGGGGGAACAGAGTGAGAATTCTGTTAAGGAATTTGGTGAGAATGGGAATTCTTGAGCAAGAGAGAACTAGAAACCAAGAGAGAACTCTTTCTTTTCGTAAAAGAGTAGGAATTGTTTCTTGAACAAGAGAGAACTTTTCAAGCAAAACAGGTAAACAAGCCAATTGGCAGTAAGTCACAGGCCGGGTGTTAGGGATCAGTTAATTAGTTAATTATTTGCTTACCAGTTCTTCTGTCAAGAGGAATTTGGTGGGAGTGGGAATTCAGTGCAGAGGGGGAAGGAGGTGCAGGTGAGAAAACCTTTTTCCCTCATATAATGTATATAACAATGGAATACTTTGTGCGTTGCAGAAGTTGTGAGATATTTGCCTTCCAGGCCCAGGTTTTGAATGAATTCATCTGCAGTAACTTCAAGCTGGTAGATTCACTCAAGGTGGTCAGCCTTTGCGAGCGACTGCACACACACCAAAGTATTAGGAAGGGAGAAGTATTTATTGATGATGTATTAGAGCAGACCTTACTAGGAGTAGACAGTAGGAGAGGAGTCCCTGTACCTAAAGGAGGAGATTAGGTCTCTGTTAGAAAAGGGGCCAGAAGTTGTGGTCGGCAAATGGACCAAGAACAGACATCCCTGAAGCTCTCCAACAGTTTCTCTCTGGAGAGCGATGTATGTCAACCCAAGTGATGGCTGAGACAGGCACGGTAATGCCGTGCACCAAGACAATCCAGCAGCCTGCCAGGTCTGCTATAGACCTCCAAGCCAGGTTGAAAGCCTCGATCTGGAACTGTGGGATGAGATAAGGAAGGCTATTAGTTAGAGATTTCAACTTACCCAAAATAGATTGGGATAATAATGTGTAAGACAAGGAAGGGGTTTTCTAGAGTTAAAGCAAGACTGTTTCATGACTCAGTAAAAGAGCCAATAAGAGGAGATAATATCTCGGAGTGGGCCTGGCAATGGGAATGGAGGACGTATTGAGTTCCATCAACGAGCTGATTATGAAGGCAATGGAACAATATTTACCCACGCGAAGCAAAGGTACCAAGCTTAAAGGCAAAGCAAATCATAAGTGTAAAAAAAAAGGCCATGAAGGAAAATGGCATGGAAATAATGCAGACTCCATACCGGAAGGCATGCCAGGACTGCAAAAAAGGCATCAAAATGGCAAAGAAAAGCTTTGAATTGAACATGGCAAGAGATGTGAAGGATAATAAAACTTTTTTTTTAGTTACATTAGGAGTAGAAGAGAAACAAGCAATGGAATAGGGCCACTGAAGTTGGGTTCGGGAGACAACATGACAAATAATGCTGCACAGGCTGCAATAATGCTAAATAAGTTTTTTTGCATCAGTTTTTACCACAAGGAGGAGATGTGTAACCTATCTGATCTGGAAAGAGAATTCAAGGATGTCACAGAGAAAAGTTGCAACACTATTCATATCACTACCAGCATGGTTGCCAAACAGCTGTGTGAACTTAAGATAAATAAATGATAATAATAATACTTGCATTTGATATAGCGCTTTTCACGTCTTCTCGACATCCCAAAGCGCATCACAGAATATACTGTAAAGTGAATTGACTGTATATTTGTGGGCGAACGCGGCAGCCAATTGCGCACAGCAATGTCCCACAAACAGTCGTGGATTTAAAATGACCAATTTATTATTGTTTTGTTTTTTGGAGGGATTATTATTAGGCTCTGTGTGGAGTAAGGAAACTTGCCAAAGGTTTCGTCTTGCGGGGAATTGAACTCAGGTCTCTCGCTTGCAAAGCGAGTGCTCTAACCACTGAGCTACAGGACTCCACCAGGGACCGGATAAATTGGATCTGAGGATTCTTAAGGAACTAAGGGAGGAAGTCGCAGAGACGCTGACACAAATCTTTCAAAAATCACTCAGTACTACAGATGTGCCGGGGGACTGGAGAAAGGCAGATGTTACTCCTATTTTTAGGAAAGGTAACCCAGGAAACTGCAGACTAGTAAGTTTGACATCCATTACGGGTAAAATTATGGAGACTCTTAAGCATAAAATCATGGAGCATCTGTACAGAAATAAAACCATAAATAATAGCCAATATGAGTTCATAAGGAAGGTCTTGCCAATCTAATTTACTGCTGTTCTTTGATGGTGTGACAAGGGAGCTTGATAAGGTTAAGGCTGTGGATGTTGTATGTCTGGATTTCAGTAAGGCCTTTGGTATAGTTCCTCTTGAGAGACTGGTTCCGAGAGTAAAGAAAGCGGGAGGTGCATTACAATGGATATGCAATTGATTGACCGGAAGAACCCAGAGGGTGGTGGTACAGGGAATGTCATCAGACTGAGAAAATGTTACCAGTGGAGGACACGGCCTGCGATTGAAGGGGATAAATTCAGAACAAATCCACGCAAACAATCTTTCAGTGAGCGAATAGTGAACCTGTGGAACAGGCTCCCTCGGGAGACGGTTGAAGCAGGAATGTTGATTCTTTCAAACACAGATTAGATAATTTTAGTTAGGAAATAACATTATGGGATACAGTACATAGGTAGTTTGGGACATATGTACTTGCAACTGCCAGGAAGGTGAAAGGTGAACTAGCTGGACCTTGATCTTTTTTCGGACAGCATTTGTTATATTCTTATGATATTGCTGTTCTTAAAATGGCTGCTATGTTGACCGATAAATACATTGACGACATCTGACCTCATTACAGCAAAGCACTTAAGAATTATCAAGTCCACAAGTACTTTATATAACCAACCGCTCGATGATCAAAGAACAGCTCAGGATAAATAGTATTTTCCAGGAATGGGTGTCTTTACTGGTGCTCGTCTCCCTCACTCCGTGTCTGTGATTCTCCCCACCCCATCACCGCCAGTGTCTGTGCCAATGCTCGACCCCCGCGCGCTCCTCCATCGTGCATGTGCTGGTGCGCGCTCCCCCATCGTGCATGTGCTGGTGCGCGCTCCCCCATCGTGCCTGTGCTGGTGCGCGCTCCCCCATCGTGCCTGTGCTGGTGCGCGCTCCCCCATCGTGCCTGTGCTGGTGCGCGCTCCCCCATCGTGCCTGTGCTGGTGCGCGCTCCCCCATCGTGCCTGTGCTGGTGCGCGCTCCCCCATCGTGCCTGTGCTGGTGCGCGCTCCTCCACTTGCATCCAGGGATGAAACCTCTGCTGCCGCTCACCTCATCAGATCCTCCATCCTGTCCTCAATGTCAGCCTCGTCCTCAGGTGTCAGGTAACTGAAGACTCTGGGGACACAGTTACTGTGGGGACGGTTTGGTGACAGTGTGCCATTGGTGATGGCCAGACGCTCCCCACCCACACTATCCCGGCCATTCAGGTTGTTGGGGTAGAGCAGTGGGGGGGGTGGGGATGTGTCATGACTGTTGCTGGGGGAGGGGGAAGTCCCGCTGTACGGGGTCTGTGTGGAGGTGCTCACTGTGGAGGATACGGCTGTGGGAATGTTGCTGTAGCTTTGCCGACGCCCAAACTTTTCGGAGTGCTCCTGCTCCAGCCTCTCGAGCGTGTCCAGCGCGTGCAGCATATCACGCTTGCTCATCCTTGTCCGGCGTAGCCGCTGAAGCAAGTCAATCTGCTCGATGGTGAACCGCGGCTCGTCCGTGTAGTGAGACATGGCACCGCCAGGCCGGCGCTGTGAGCAAAACACACAAACAGTCACTACACTGGACAGTAACTGCCCACAGGTGGAGTCCTGTATCTTATAGCACTCGCCTCGCAAGCGAGGGGGCCCGGGTTCTTAAGTTATGGGAGTTATGATGAACCTTTATATAAAGCACTGGTTAGGCCACATCGAGAGACTGTGTTCAGTTCTGGGCCCCACACGTTAGGAAGGATGTCAAGGCATTGGAGAGGGAGCAAAGGAGATTGACCAGAATGGCACCAGGAATGAGGGACTTCAGTTATCAGGAGAGGATGGAGAAGCCGGGATTATTCTCCTTGGAGCGGAGAAGGTTAAGAGGAGACTCAATAGAAGTTTTCAAATTTATGAGGGGATTCGATAGGGTGAACCAAGAGAAACTATTTCCACTGGCGGGTGGGTCGGTAACGCGAGGACACAGAGTTAAAATAGTTGTTAAGAGAAATTTTTTCACACAACGAGTTGTTCGGATTTGGAATGCATTGCCTTCATGAAAGGATGGTGGAAGCCGATTCGATAACCACTTTTATGAGAGAAGTGGATAATTATTTGGGGAGGACAAGTTCGCAGGGTTATGGGGAGAGATCGGGGGAGTGGCATTGATTTGGATGGCTCTTTTCAATGAGCCGGCACAGACACAATGGGACGAATGGCCTCCTTCTGCGCTGTGTGATTATCCAGTGTTATACCATTGTAGACTGATGAAACTTTAAGTCAACCACAAAATTCACTTTACAGTATATTGTGTGAAACGCCTTGAGATGTCTCGGAGATGTGATAAGGCGCTATACCAGTAGGACAAGGAGGCAGAGGGAGCCCCGGTCACAGATAGAGAGGATGTCGTGTGTGACGTTCACAAGCGCAGTCTCTGTACTGTGGGCGGAAACCGGACTGGAGGGGTTCGAGGAGAGGTGTGCGCGGAGTTGATTTGCAACAACGCGTTCGAAGACTTTTGCGAGGTGGGCAGAAAGGAATGTAGGATGGGGGTCGTGGTAGGAGCTGATGATGGGGAGGGGGACAGAGAGGGGGTAGTGGTGGGTGACAACGGGCAGGTGGAGGAGGCTGCCTGGCAGATGTAGTGAATTTTACATGAAAAGAAGTCCATGACCTCCTCGCACTTGGCATTTAATATGAAGATTGAGGAGGCCTGAGGGGGTCACGGAGGAGGTAGTGGGTGGTGGAAAAAAGGATTTTAGGGTATGCGTTTAGCCTCCAAGTCCTGTAGCTCAGTGGTTAGAGCACTCGCTTTGCAAGTGAGAGACCTGAGTTCAGTCCCCGGGGGGTCAGGGCCAAACCTTGGGCAAGTTTCCTTACTCCACACAGAGCCTAATAATAATCCTCCAAAACCAAAACAATAATAAATGGGTCATTTTCAATCCACGACTGTTTGTGGGACATTGCTGTGCGCAATTGGCTGCCGCGTTCGCCCACAAATATACAGTTAATTCACTTTACAGTGTGTTCTATGGGAAGTGCTTTGGGAAGTCCTCCCGACGTGAAAAGCGCTATATCAAATGCAAGGATTATTATTATTATTAAGATGGTGTTGGAGTAGAAGCCGTTTTTTGCTCGTGTCAAAGAACGCCGGTAGCTATGGAGATGCTGGAGCCCCAGTTGGCGGTGGACTGTAAGGCCGGTTTTCCACCACCTGCGCTCAAGCAGCCGGGTTTGGGTTTTTAGGCGGCGGAGATGTTTGTTATACCGGGGGATCGGGTGGGTTTGGAGATGGTCCTGAGTTTCAGGGGAACGAGGGAGTTGAAGGTGGAGGAGAGGCGATCATGGAGCAGCTGGACGGCTGCTTCAGGATCTCCGCGGGTGGAAGGCCAGACGGATAGGATGTCTGATGATTTGATATCAGGGGGTAGCCTTTTCCAAGGGCGGTAGAGAATGGTTGAGGGCTTGGTAGAGGAGAGAGGGATGTGAGAGGAGAAGGAGATGAGGAAGTGGGCCGAGATGGCCTTGTCCACTATGCTAAGGTGGGAAATGTGAAGGCCCTGGGTGATAATGAGGTCGAGGGCATGACCACGATTGTGGGTGAGTGAATTTATATGAAGAGTGAGGTTTAGGGAGGAGAGAAGTGCAGTGAAGTCGGCAGAAGTGATGCACAGGGAGTTTAGGTGGAGGTTGAAATCACCCATTATGAGTAGGGTGACAGGGAAGAGAGGAGAGTAGAGATATCTGTGTGGAAGGGGCTGGGGGGCTGGTGGGGGGGCGGTAGATCAGGAGGATTTTCAGTGGGAGAGAGGGATGGAAGAGGGTGAGGTGCTTGAAGGAGGAGAAGCAGCCAGAGGAGTAGGGGGAAAGACCAAGGGAGGCTTTGGAGATGAGGGCCACCCCGCCGCCATATTGGTCTTCTATCCGAGGTCTGTTATAAAATCAGCAGCTACAATAGCTACATTTATACCTAAATTGCTTACATAGCCTTTCCTTCAACTCCAACTATTTAATTGGTCTCACAGATGCCACGTTCTTGTTTATCCAACTTCACCCAACAAAGACTATCTCATTTGAACATTCCTTCCCCCAAGTGACTGCATTGGTAACACAAGGACATTAGATAAGGAGCCTTTGCTTTCTTTCAACCATGGACAGTAAGGCCACAGAGTTATCATACACAGACACAGCCTCCGTGTCTCACACAAGACAAAGCTATCTCTTCTTCACTACTGTACCAAACCGAGCTCACAGGCATTAATCAGATCAAACAAGGTTACAAAGTTAACAACATAACCTCACTTAAAAGTACAGCGGAACAAATGCCCAGTCATTTTCCAGCGGCGCAAAATGCACAGCAGTATAACAGCACCCGCCTAAAGCATCAGAAAAAAAAGTGTGAAGTACCACACTTTATGCCGCCACAACTCACCCAAAACGCTTCAAAGTAAAAAAAAAATAAGGAAGGTTTAGTAAGAACAATTCAGGCAGGGAGTAAAAACACAACAGTTAAGCTGTGGAGAAGGAATGCAAATTTAGAGGAATATAAATTTAGAGGGACAAGACACCTGGTCCAGATGGACTGCGCACAGGGATTATTAGGGAAACTGGGGAGGAGATAGCTGAGGCAGTAAGATATATAGGGTGACCAAAAAGTTGTGATAATTACCCTATTTAAAAAAAACAAATATCATCATTTCTTTAAGAGTTATTAGACATTATAATGGTAATGTGATTTTTTTGGTCACCCTGTTATGTAAGAATGCTGCAGCAAAAGAAATCTGCTACAGTGCCTTTCATATTCCCCCCAAAGTGCTCCACAACAATATCCTGTAAATATCTTCTAACAAGTTCTCCTCCAGCCATCGCACCATCGTGTGCAGTGTTCCCCAGGGCTCAGTAAGTCAGTAAGCGCGCGGGTGAAGACTTGTGTAGCTGGTTGGCTGAATGTTCTGTTTCCGTGCTACACATCCTTTGTAAATCTTTAACTGAAGGAAGTTATGAATGTAGTAAACAAGTTGAGTATAAACGTAGCTGTTGATTTTTTTGGAACAGATCCGGGAGAAGAACAGAATGATAGAAGATTAAGCACACAGAAGCCACTGGTATCTCTGTTCTCTCGGTTGCTTATTCCTTTTCTGTAAATGTTTTATGCTGCAATAAAGTTTTGAAAACATATTTCCATCTCTGTGAACTTGATTCCCTGGTGTCTGAGACTTATCAACTCCCAAGCCAACAGTGGCCAGGAGAAGCTCCCTTCTCTTTTTGAGTAGTGCCATGGATTATAACATCCACTTGACCAGGCAGATAGGACCTCACGTTAAACATCTCATTTGAAGGACGGCACCTCTGACAACGCAGCACACTCCCATTGGAGTGTCAGTTTAGACTATATGAGTTCTAAGTCTGAATGTGGGGCTTGAAACCACCATCTTCTGACTCAGAGGATACACTGAGCCTGGCTGACACACAAGACGCAGCCCTCTGGGGAGCGAGCACACATTCCATTCCAAAACACAGGAATCTCCATGTGCGAGTTCATGTGGAGTGTGGTCCTGATGCTCTTAAGTATGGTGATGGGTTACCACATGCATCAGACACCCGAATGATCCAAACAAAAGCAAGGATTACAAAACGCTTCTTCAGCCCTCGGAAATTAGATCACAAGTACTGATAGCAAATTCCCCTGTGCATAAGGCAAGTTCTTTACACATAAATACACGGTCACTACAATAACAACCACGAATTACATTTGCATAGCACCTTTCACGTCGGGAGGATGTCCCAAGGTGCTGGACAGTCAAGGTTTGGCACTCGAGCTGGGGGTTGGGATCAGGAGAGGTGGAAGGCAGGGAGGGAAAGAGTAAGAGAGTGGCCAAAGGCACGATCGAAGAGAAAGGTCTTGAGATGAGCCTTGAAGGAGGCAAGGGAGGGAGCAAGGCGAAGGAACTGTTGGATGGTTACAAAGGATGGGGCAGAAAGGTTGAAGGCCCGACCGCCAATGGTGGGGCAGGCATTGTGGGGGATGTGGAGGAGACCAGAGTCCGCTGAGTGAAGGGAGTGGACAGGTTGGTATGGGGTTAGTAGGTCACAGAGGTAGGGAGGAGCAAGGCCATGGAGGGCTTTAAAACTACACCAAAGAAACTTTAAACCATTTATATTCAACAAGAGCAGCGCAAACTCATAGGAACAGGAGTAGGCCATTCAGGACCTCAAGCCGGTTCCCCCATTCTATTAGATCATGGCTGATCTGTACCTCAACTCCAATTACCCGCCTTTGCCCCATATCCGTTGATACTGACCTAACAAATGTCTATCCACCTCAATCTTGAAGATGTGAATGGATCCAGAATCCACAGCCTTTTGGGGGAAAGAGTTCCAGATTTCCACTAACCTTTGGGTGAAAAACTGCCCCTGATTTCTCTCCTAAATGGCCAAGCTTTAATTTTAAGATGATGCCCCTTGTCCTGGATTCCCCACCAGAGGAAAGAGTTTCTCTGTAGCTATTCTATCGAATTTCTTTATTGTTTAAAAAACCTCAATCAGATCACCGCTCAACCTTCTAAACTCGAGGGAATACAGACCGTGTTTATGCACTTGGTCTCATAATCAAACCCTCCCAAGTCCTGGTATCATTCTGATGAATCTACGGCACACAGTCAATACATGAACACATAGCAAGTGGCCTCTGAAGGTTTTTGTGTCAGTCATTAACATTATAGCCCCTGTATTCAACACAAGGACTTTTATTACCTCAAATCCCAACCCCCTTCCTATTCCCCAATGCACAACCAAATACCCCCTCCTCCCTATCATGGCTATTAAATCCCCAGTTAAGATTCGACCATTCATTTTATCGTCTGACATACTTAACAGCAGGATACACAGTCACTACACTTTATAGTGAATCCTGTGAGATGCTGTACCAAAAGTAAGTGGTATTTACCCCCTCCCCTTCTGCCTCTCCCCTTCCTTCCTCCTCCAGTCATTCCTTCCCTTCTCCACCCCTCTTGCTTCTCCCCCTCCTCTCTTCCCACTCTCTTTCCCTCTTCTTCTCTCTCCTCCCCCCCCCCCCCCTCACTCTCTTCTCTCCATTTCTTTTCCTACTATGCACTCTCTCTTCCCTCCTCTCCCTCTCCTCCTTCCCTCTCTCCTCCCCCACTCCCCGTCTCCCCTCTCTCTTCTCCGTTCTTCTCCCTCTCCCCCCTTTCTCTCCTCTTTCTCTCCTCCCCACCACCCTCTCTTCTCTACCCCCCCACCAACCCCCCCAACCCCTTCTCCTTCCTTCACCTTCTTCTCCCTCTCTCCCCCTTCTCCTCCCTTCTTCCCCCTCCTTCCCTTCTTCTCCCCACGCGATCTCTTTTCTTTTCTCTCCCACCTTCTCCCCTTCTCTCCGCGCGATCTCTTTTCTCTTTCCCCTTCTTCCTCTCCTTCTCTCCCCACCTCTCTTCCCCCTTCTCTCCCCCCCCTTTCCCCTTCTCTCCCCCCTTCTCCCTCTCCTTCTCTCTCCCCTCTTCCCCCCTCTCTCCTTCTCTCCCCCTTCTCCCTCTCCTTCTCTCCCCCTCTCTTCCCCCCTTTCCCCTTCTCTCCCCCTTCTCCCTCTCCTTCTCTCCCCCCCCTCTATCCTTCTCTCCCCCCTTCTCCCTCTCCTCTTCCCCCCCTCTCTCCTTCTCTCCCCCCTTCTCCCTCTCCTTCTCTCGCCCCTCTCTTCCCCTTCTCTCCCCCCCTTTCCCCTTCTCTCCCCCCTTCTCCCTCTCCTTCTCTCCCCACCTCTCCCCCCCTCTCTCCCCACCCTCTCCTTCTCCCTCTCCTTCTATCGCCCCTCTCTTCCCCTTCTCTCCCCCTCTCTTCCCCCTTCTCTCCCCTTCTCCCCTCCTTCTTTCGCCCCTCTCTTCCCCTTCTCTCCCCCTCTCTTCCCCCCCTTTCCCCTTCTCTCCCCCCTTCTCCCTCTCCTTTTCTCCCCCCTCCCCCCCCTCCCCCCCCTCTCCCCCACCCCTCAGGTTACAGTCACTCACCTGCTAATCGCCTTTTTTTTGGCCTTTTTGCTCTAAACCATTGACACGTTGGTGTTAAACTCGGCGCTGCGGCGACTGTTGTTGTGGTTGTCCTTCTTTCTCCATCAGCGGAAAAGGAGGGGGAAAAGAGGGCGAACTCCCCCTCAAAAAAATACCTAAACAAATGGAAACGGGTACAGAGAGGGCGGTGAGAAGCTCCAAACTTCTGCTGCGGCGCCTTCATGTCGGAGCGACACCCGCCATGACTCCCGCCACCCAGTCACCGGGGGCCCGGGGGGGGGAGGGAAACACCGACACACCGGGGGGGGGGAGGGGGGGAGGGAAACACCGACACACCGGGGGGGGGGGGGAGGGAAACACCGACACACCGGGGGGGGGAAACACCGACACACACACACACAGGGGGGGAAGGTAAACACCCACACACACACACAGGGGGGGGGGAGAAGGTAAACACCGACACACACAGGGGGGAAGGTAAACACCGACACACACAGCGGTGGGTTTGGGGGGAAGCAAAACACCGACACACAGCCGCGCCACCTCGAGCACGACGGGAAGTGTAGTTCCTCCCCCCCTCTCTCTCCCCTCATTCGCACACGGACACACTCACGCGTGCGCACATCTTGGATCGGGAGTGCGCATGCGCGGCCTGCACACACACACACACACACACAAACACCGCGCGCGCGGCCTCAACGGCGGACTGCATCTCCCGCCGTGCACCGCGGCTGGGCCTGCGCGTTGCTCCTCTCTCCTTCCCGGCAGCCTCTGCCCTCTGACCTCTGACCTCGCCCTGCGGTTGGCATAGTAACAGCGGCGGTGCGGCCTGGGGGTCAGGATGAAGCTGGTGAGATGTCTCCTCTCTCTCTCTCTCTTCCTTTCTCTCTCTCTTTCTCTCTCTCTTTCTCTTTCTTCCCCTCTCTCTTTCGCTCTCTCTTTCTTCCCTTCACTCTCTCTCTTTCTCTTTCTTCCTTTCTCTCTCTCTTTCTCCTCTCTCTTTCTTCCCTTCTCTCTCTCTCTCTTTCTCTCTCTCTCTCTCTCTCCCTCTCTCTCTCTCTCTCTCTCTCTCTCTCTCTCTCTCTCTCTCTCTCTCTCTCTCTCTCTCTTTCTTCCTTTCTCTCTCTCTCTCTCTCTCCACCATTGGCCTCCTTCCTTTCCTTATCGACACGCGTCCTCTCGGCGATGTGGGGTTCACTTCCACGTGTATGAGGATGACACCCAAATGGACCTTCCCTCCCGCTGCGACGCGCGGTCAGTGCGCTGATGTCCCGTCCTGATTGTCTGACAGAAATCGAGGCCCGGATGAGCGCAAATTTCCTGCAACTTGAACGTCAGCCACGAGAAAGCCACGCGCGTTGGCTCCCGTCCACGTCTTCCCTCCTGCGGGTCTGAACTCCTCAACCTCCCCGGGCTCTCCCGCGCACCCCTCGGGGCATCCGGGTCGATCCCCAGCTTTCCTTCCTGACACACATCCGTTCCCTGACCGGGACCGCTTTTTTTCCCGCCTCGGTTTTACATTGCCCACCTCGTCCGTCCCTCGTCACCGACACGTCGGGAAACCCCCGGCCACGACTTTTGTCACTTCTCGGCTGGACTGTTCCGACGCCCTCCTCGCGGGTCTCCCCGGCTCCGCCGCACACAACTGTTTGTGGGACATTGCTGTGCGCAATTGGCCGCCGCGTTTGCCCACAAATATACAGTCAATTCACTTTACAGTGTGTTCTGTGAAGCGCTTTGGGACGTCCTCCCGACGTGAAAAGCGCTATATCAAATGCAAGGATTATTATTATTATTATTATTAACAGCCAAGGAATTCAAAACTCCGCCGCCAGATACTCGCCCGCACGGAACTCTGCACCCCCATCGCGCCAGAGTCCGTGCCACTGGATCCCAATCACCGAACGGATCGACTTCAAGATCTTCTCACTCGTTTTCAAGTCACTTCATTCCCGCGCACCTCCCCACCTATCCGACCAGCTTACCCCCCACTCCACCACCTGCTGCCTCCGCTCGGCTGTCACTGACTTCCTATTTGTTCCTCGTGCCCTCTGTTCCACCATCAGCCACTTTGCCCTGAAATTCTAGAACTCTCTTCTCAATCTCTCCCATCCGCCTTCCTCCCCACCTTCAAATCCCGCTTAAAGACCTTCCTTTCTGATCGTGCTTATGAACACCTCTCCTTCCCTCTCCCGTGGTACCATTGGAATAGGAAGGAAGTTCTCCTCCCGGTGCCCTGGCCAACAATCCTCCAGATAAAATTGGTCAGTTGCTTGGGACATTCTCCCGACGTGAAAGGCACTATACAAATGTAATTTTGTTGTTGTTACTGATTGTGAATCGGCTGCTATGTTTACCTACAAAATCACTACCGTTAACAATAATTACTGTAAAACTTTGAGTTGCTTCAATGCTATTTCAAATGTGAATTATTATTAACAATATTATTGTTAATAATAAGAATAACCACGTTTTACCCTTGTTTTTCTCAGTACTGCCTGTCTGGTCACCCGACACTGCCTTGCAATGTCCTCAAATTCAAGTCAACCACGATCATGTTGGACTGCGGGCTGGACATGACCTCTGCCTTGCACTTCCTTCCTCTCCCACTTGTGCACAGGTAAGTCACAACTTATAATCTTGCATTTGATGTAGAGGCTTATCATTGAGACGTCTCAAAGCGCTTCACAGAATATATTCTAAAGTGGAATGACTGTATTTTGTGGGTGAAATTTAGGAACAGGAGGAGGGTATTCGGCCTGTCCACTCCACCAACGATGGCCGAACTTTCAGGAACTACACTCCTACCTTCTTGTGCTCCCTCTCCCTATCCCTCCATATCACCCTCCACCTTTATCTATCTTTTAATCCCACCTACAAACCCATCTCTTCGATCGAGTTTACACTCATCCCATAACTCAGCATTCAACACCATCCCTATGAATGTATGATTCCTCAGTAAAGTGTAGTGACTGTGTATTTTGTAGGCGAGTATCTGAACTGGACTAAAACGTGCTTCCTTTTCCCTACAGCCCAAGGCTGTCTAAACTCCCAGGCTGGATATTGAAAGACGGGAACAATGTGCTGGAAAAGGTAAGAGACGGAGAATCGAGTCCGGTCCTGACCGTTTAGTTCTTCACAGCTTCCTGTTGCTATGAATAATATTCTCACTTGTGTTTTACTCTGTTGTATTGCATTTGCTCAGCTGGTTCGGGTCTTCTGCACATCCCTCATCTCCTCTGCTCCACCATTGGGGGTTGTGCTTTCAGCCACTATATCCTGAATCTCCAGCAAATCTGTCTCAATCCCTGTATCTTGATCCCTTTCTGCTCGTCATCAAATCACACCTGATGACTTGCCTTCGCGATCGTAGCTACGGTCACCCCACTGTAAAGCACTCCATTACACCACCCCCCTCCCCCACCCCACTGTGAAGGGCTCTATTGAAATGTGAGATGTTGCTGTTGTTGTTTATTGTGTATGATTCTACCTCATGTGCTGTTAATGCCGACTCTCTTACCGCATGCATTTGTACTTGTACTATAGGAACTAATGATCTGCTTATGTTCTACAGGAGCTGAAGGAATGTGCTGGCCGGGTGTTTGTTGACTCTGTCCCAGAGTTCTGCCTGCCTGAGGTAAGAATAAATCAGACCATCAGTTCGGAGTCTCCGTAGCGTATTGGTTAGAGCTCCTGCCTCGCAATCAAGAGGACCCAGGGTTGATTCCTGGGCAAGTTTCCTTACTCCACACCTCTGTTTACCTAGCAGTAAGGAACCCTACTTACTGGATGGCTTTCTGGGGGAAACCATTTCCCAGGATTTTTACTGTGAAATGTAGGGACTGTGTAGACGAGACCTTAGTTCAACATCACAGCTAAAAGTTGGCACCTGTGACCATGCAGCTCTCTCCTATCCTGCACTGGAGCATCAGCCTAGTCTGTGAGCTCCAGGTTCCAACATGGGGCTTGAACCCACAATCGTCCGACTCTGAGGTGAGAGTCCCTACTTACACAGCCAGTGTGACACCTAACTAAGATAGTGAGAAACGAGGAGACCAGAGTGGGGTGTAGGGAGTTGGTTGATGAGTGCAGCTGGTGATGTTGTTTGTTGCCTTCTCTGCAGACTGAGCTGCTGGATCTGTCCACGGTCGATGTGATCCTCATATCGAACTACCATTGTATGATGGCCTTGCCTTACATCACGGAGCACACGGGCTTCACTGGCACAGTGTACGCCACAGAGCCCACCATGCAGATCGGCAGGTAAGCAGCTCACACGCCTACTTAACTACTCTCACCTTTCACATTGTGTATTTGATTAAAAAGCCTGGTGTGCATTCCTGACGGTCAGTGGTCCCAAGCGATAGGACCCGAGTTTGATTCCCATGTGCGGCGAAACTTCAGGCATGTTTTCTTACTCCACACGCCTCTGTTTGTTCACCTAGCAGTAACTAGGAACCCGCTTGTCAGTCGAATGATGGATCAGTTTTCGTGGGGTAATAATCCCTTCAAAAAAAAATTAATAACCATTTGGCCACTTTTTCTGTTTTTGTTTGTGGGACACTGCTGTGCGCAATTGGCTGCCGCGTTTCGCACACAAAATACCCACAACCTTCTGACTCGGGGGTGAGAGCGCTACCATTGAGCCAATGTACAGTGTGACCTTGTGTAAGGTGTTAGATACTGATATGTGTTATACGCTGTGGCCCTGTGTAAGTGTGTTGTTGTTGCAGGCTGCTGATGGAAGAGCTGGTGAAGTTTATCGAGAGGGTTCCCAAGGCACAGGCAGCCACCAACTGGAAGTCCCGGGAAATGCTCAGGTAATGGCGACAGTGTTAATCCTGGTTGAGACTCTGTGTGAGAACTCAGAATGTTGTCTTTTCGACTCACACGGGTAGGGGGCAAATCAGCTTCATGACGTGGCTCTTGTACCCTGTATGGCGAGGGGTGGGTTAAAAAAGCCACAAACTTCACTGCTTTATTCCGGTGCGGAGTGACGCAGGGATACGTTTTAATCGCTCGGTTTGGTTAAATATGTTTGGTTATTTTGTTCTGCCCAGGAGTCAACATGTCTCACCAGGTTCCACTGGCTCACCATCCCCGAGTATCAACACCAAGATCCTCACCCCCTCACACAAATCCCTTCAGGCCCGAGCACCTCCTTACCTCTCTGACCTGCGTTGGAGTAAGGAAACTTGGCCTGCCTGGGATCAATGCCTCTTAGACCGTGGTCAGCCACTGTGCCCCACCACCTTAACCCCTCCTTCGCCATCTTCAGGTTGCGCCTGAAAACCTTCCTCTTGGACTGTGCCTACGGTCACCTCCCCCTGGCTCAGCGTCAAGCGCTCTGGGATGCTACCCTGCGTGAGGGGCGCTATATAAATGCAAGTTGTTTTTGCTCGGCATCCAACCCCGCTACTGTGCAGCACTCTGAGACCCTACCCGTGTGAAGGGTGCTGTGTAAATGTACACTATTGTTGTTGTGCTATGACAGGCTGCTGCCTGGGGGCCTGAAGGACGCGGTGGAAGTTACCACATGGAAACGCTGTTATTCGCTGCAGGAGGTGAACCTGGCCCTCAGCAAAGTCCAGCTAGTCGGCTACTCCCAGAAAATAGTAAGTCTGACTCCCCTCCTGCTGCTCACACACACTGATCTGCGCTGCTGCTCACACACACTGATCTGTGCTGATGTTCACACACACTGATCTGTGCTGGTGCTCACACACACTGACATGTCCAGCTCCCAGGCTGTCACTCATGTTGATGTTGTGATGGAAGTCCACATGTTGTACCTGCCTCCCTCTCCTCCACCTCTGGCCTCCTGCTCGTTCCTCACTCCCTCTGTCACACAAGGTTTTGCTCAGCTGTAGATAGTGTAGAGAAACTATTTCCTCTGGCCAGTGATTCAGTAGCCAAGGGAACAGATTTAATTTAATTCGCAAAAGAACCAGGGGGGAGACGAGAGGACTATTTTTTTTTACCCAGAGAATTGTTACGGTCTGGAATGCACTGCCTGAAAGGGTGGTGGAAGCCGATTTGATGGTAGCTTTCAAAAGGGATTTAGATAGGTACTTAAAAAGGAAAACTTTGCAGGGCTGTGGGGTAAAAGCGGGGGAGTGGGACGACTCGGCAGCTCTTTCAAAGAACCAACAAAGGCACGATGGGCCAAATGGCCTCTGTTCTGTAAGGTTCTATAATGTTTGACACACAGAAAAGCTTAAGATTCTCCAAATTAATAGATTCTTTATTGAGATTCTTTACTGAGAGTTCCACATCTGTATGGTTTCGTCTGGAATGGAGCACGCTCTCTCCCCTGAGGGGCAAACCCTGCTTGCCTGATCCCAACTTGCATAGCGCCCTTCATGCAGGGTAGCATCTCGGAGTGCTTAAAAGTGGCGGAGCCTGACCCCGAGCCAGGGAAATGGGGAGGTGACCGTAGGTGTGGTCAAAGAGGAAGATGTTCAGGCGTGATCTAAAAATGGGGAAGGATCGAGCAAGGCGGAGGGATTGAGGGAGAGAATTCCAACGTTTGGGTTCAGGTTGGCAAGAGCCAGGGCTTAGTATCCCAGAGGGTGCATTCGTATACTCTTAGTTTTACAGGCTATAACCATATGGAGTCCTGTGGAGTCCTGTAGCTCAGTGGTTTGAGCACTCGCTTTGCAACCGAGAGATCTGAGTTCATTTCCAGGCAGAGGGCGAAACCTTGGGCAAGTTTCCTTACTCCACACAGAGCCTAATAATAATCCCTCCAAAACCAAAAACAATATTAAATTGGTCATTTTCAATCCACGACTGTTTGTGGGACATTGCTGTGCGCAATTGGCTGCCGCGTTCGCCCACAAATATACAGTCAATTCACTTTACAGTGTGTTCTGTGAAGCGCTTTGGGACGTCCTCCCGACGTGAAAAGCGCTATATCAAATGCAAGGATTATTATTATTATAAGGCTTACCTTTGCAAACACTGGCAACCTTTCCCGATGCTAGTCCACGTTAAGACCAACCTATCTTTAGGGGTTTGGCTTGCAGGGTTAACGGGCTGAGTGGGAGTGACTGGTCTTCCCTTCCAAGGCTATGCTGTCATCAGCAGTGCCCTGGAATACTGTAGACCCCTCTGTCTCAAGAACAACAGTCATATCAGCTGTAAGCTGACCCCACTTACCTCCACCCCCAAAGAGAACAGTCACTAGTTAGTAATTTGACATCCGACAAGTGTGGGTTTGATCCTCACTGGGTGGACGGTAGGTACCAGTTTCCTGGTGGGGAACACATTTCAGCATGAAATGCGTGAGGGCATTGCCACCATCTTCCTGCCCACAGCTCGGACACACGCCCCTTTCCATTGAGCGACGACCACATTAGGGTTGACTGGACTCTGACATTCTGTGGCCAAACCATATCACGTTGGAGTAAGGAGAGCCCGCTGATCTCCCCGGAGGATAGAGAGGATAATAAACCGTGGACCATGTTGAAGTGCTGACTGTGTTCTCTCTCTGGGATGTCAGGAGCTGTTCGGGGCTGTGCAGGTTACTCCACTCAGCTCCGGCTACTGTCTGGGCAGCTCTAATTGGATCATCCAGTCGCACTATGAGAAAGTGGCCTACGTGTCGGGGTCCTCCCTGCTCACCACCCACCCCCAGGTACGTGGCACATGTTATAATGGAGTCCTGTAGCTCAGTGGTTAGAGCACTTGCCTCGCAGTGACAGAACCTGGGTTCGATTCCTGGGCAGGGTGACTATTTAATAAACTGGGAGAAAAATGTCTCTTTTTTTTCTTTCAGCCCATGGAACAGACATCACTGAAGAACAGTGATGTGCTAATCCTGACCGGACTAACACAGATTCCCACCGCCAACCCTGATGGCATGCTGGGGGAGTTCTGCAGTAACTTAGGTGACGGGGATGGGGGAGGGCATTGAGCTTTCTCAAGTTTAATCAGAAGTATAATCAGTCTGGCTCAGTCGGTAACACTGGAGTCCTGTAGAGTAGTGGTTAGTGTGCTCGCCTCGCAAGCAAGAGGACCTGGGTTTGATTCCTGGGCAGGGCGAAACCTGAGGCAATAATATATTGGTCACTCAATCCACTACTGTTTGTGGGATACAGCTGTGTGCAATTGGCTTCCGTGTTTCACCCACAAAATATACAATCAATTCACTTTACAGTATAGTCTGTGAAGCGTTTTGAGGCGTCTCGATGACATGATAAGGCGCTATATCAAATGCAAGGATTATTATTATTAACACTCGCCCCCGAGACTGAAGGTTGTGGGTTCAAGCCCCAAATTGGGGACTATGAGCCCGCAGTCCAGGCTGAGCAATGCAGCACTTTGATGTGGAAGATGCCTTTCGGAACATACGTTAAACTGAGGTCGCGTCTGCCTGTTCAGGTGGATATTAACACTCCTGTGGCTTGAAAAGGGAAGGGAGTTTCTCTCCTGGTTTCCTGGCCAACCATCTTCCCAAGTAAATTAGTCATCACTTCATGGCTGTCTGTGCAGCATTGCTGTGCACAAATTGGGTACAGCGTTTGCCTATAAACTACGGTCATTACGCTTCACAGTAAAATCCTGTCAAGCTTTCAGAGTTGCCTTCCTGACATGAAAGATGCTGTATTAGATACAAGGGTTACTTACTATTTATCTAAAGTGGCAATCAGACTCTGGGGTCTGCGGAGAATTAAGGGAGGGAAGGAGGGAGGGAGAGAGGTTAGAAAGATTTTGCTCACACAGAATATTGTTAGCAGTTCTTCTCACTCTTAGAGTATTTAAGAAGTGGCGTCGGTAGTGATCTGACAATAATAACCTTATAGAACATTTCACATCAGCAGAATGTCTCAAAGCAAGCCTTGACCAGGTCCTTTTCGCACTTTATAAGGCAGTTCTGAGATATTGAACCCAGAAGATGGTGTTTCAATGAGTCAACCCTGGCTTAGGGAGGGGCGAGATGTGAAGGGTCAGGCCGTGGGGTTGTGCTGGGGTCTCTTGAGTTTAGAAGGTTGAGGGGTGATCTGATTGAGGTGTTTAAGATAATAACAGGATAGGGCAGCTACAGAGAACTATTTCCTCTGGTGGGGGAATCCAGAACAAGGGGCATCATCTTAAAATCAAGGCAATTTTAGGAGTGAAATCAGGACGTATTTTTTCATGCAAAGGGTAGAGGAAATCTGGAACTGTCTCCCTCAAAAGGCTGTGGATGTTGGATCCATTCACATCTTCAAGACTGAGCTGGACAGATTTTTGTTAGGTCAGGGTATCAAGGGATATGGGGCAAAGGCGGGTAATTGGAGTTTGAGGTCCAGATCAGCCATGGTCTAATAGATTAGTGGAACAGGCTTGAGGGGCTGCATGACCTCCTCCTGTTTCTATGTCCAGCGCTGTTCAGTGAACTGAGTGTTATATTTGATGTTGTCAGACTAAACAATGTGGGTTCACATTATAATTCACAGCCACACTGATTCAAATCCCTCTTCTGCTCCTCCCTCAGCTGTGACCATCCGGAGTGGTGGGAACGTGCTGGTTCCATGCTACCCCTCAGGGGTAATCTATGACCTGCTGGAGTGTCTGTACCAGTACATCGACTCCGCCGGCCTGTCCAGCGTCCCCTTCTACTTCATCTCACCTGTTGCCAACAGCTCACTCGAATTTTCACAGATCTTTGCAGAATGGTAAATGGGGGTGGTGGGGACGCTCCACGTACTCAGACTGTGCTCAGGGGGTGAGAAGTGGAGAGGTTAGAGTCTTTCTGGAGCCAGCCTGACTCATCAGCAGGACTTAGGGTGGTCCTCGCTGAAGAAGCAGCGGAAAGTTTGGCAGACAGTGCTCTCAATGACAAGCTATGTTTTAGTTTTATCTGTTAGACTCCAACAGTTACCCTGACGCACACTCTGGGGTCCCCAAGCCTTGGTGACTTACTTATGTGCAGCTCTCGGTCTGGTGTGAGTACTTGGTGATGGGTTTGGTCTGTGTCAGACACTTCACTGACCAGAATAAGATCCTATGGTGATGGCTGTTCTGCAAGAGATTAATACCTAACTGCAGGTCTTATTGTCTAACAATAGGGGGCGATAGGCATTAATTTTGTGACCTCTGAGCTAATAGCCCTGTTCTTCTCCTCTTTCCCTCCATCACAAGGCTCTGTCACAATAAGCAATCAAAGGTCTATCTGCCGGAACCCCCATTCCCACACGCGGAGGTAAGACATTGCTTTTTTATAGGCGCCTTCTCCCATTGAAGAGTGTCAGCCTGGCTCAGTCCGTAGCAGTATCTCCTCTGAGTCACAAGGTCGTGGGTTGAAGCCTCACGTTCGGAACTCATATAATCTAAGCCGACACTCCAGTGCAGCACTGGGGGAGCAAAGCATTGTCAGAGGTGCCATCCTTCACATGAGATGTTAAATAGAGGTCCCGTCTACCTGTTCAGGTGGACAGTAAAGCTCCTGTGGTGCAGTCCTGGCCAACAATCCCCCAGATAACACTGCTCATTCACTCCATGGCTATTTGTGTGGGTGTTTGTTTTACGGCTGTTTGTGTGTGTGTTTACTCTATGGCTGGTTGTGTGTCTGTCTGTGTGTGTTTGCTTCATGGCTGTTGGTGGAATGTTGCTGTGTGTAAATTGGCAGCTACGTTTGCCCATAAAATATATGAAGTGAATGGCCAATTGTATCCGAGGCTTTGTTGGCAAAGGAAGAGACTGCCTTCTGTTTTAGAACAGTGGCTTGGGATCTTCACGGTAGGTGGATGTTAAAGATCCCAGGGCACTATTCAAAATGGTACGGTTCCCGCCATCCAAAGGATGGCACCGCCAACAATACAGGGTATGAGATACGCACACAGCGTGAGACACACACACACGCGCACACACAGAGTGACAGAGAGTCACCCGCGCACCCACACAGAGTGAGAGCGCGGCAGAGAGACACACACATACAAAAAGTGAGAGAGAGAGAGACCATACACACAGAGAGAAACGCACTCAGAGATAGTTTCACACATACAGAGTGAGAGAGAAATACACGCAGAGTGACACACACACACACACACAGAGTGAGAGACAGAGTGAGAGAACACACAGTGAGTGTGAGAGTGAGAGAGACAGAGAGAGATGCACACAGAGTGAGAGCGCGAGAAGGGGTAAAATATTCAGTAGCTCAGACTTGCTGTGTCCTGCTGGCTCTATCTCACGCTGCTTGCTCGGCTTCCTTTCAACTCGGCTTCCTTTCCTACAGCTAATCCAGACCAACAAGCTCAAGCACTACCCCAGCATCCATGGGGATTTCAGCAACGACTTCAAGCAGCCGTGTGTGGTGTTCACCGGCCACCCCTCCCTACGCTTCGGAGATGTGGTACACTTCCTGGAGCTCTGGGGCAAGTCCAGCCTCAACACCATCATCTTCACAGGCAAGAGCAAGAGCACAGGGGTCAGATCATACAGGAACCCTTCTCTTTATGGTTTTCAGCACCTTATTACATCACTGAAACATTTCAACACACTTCACAGCCTTTACTATCAAATCTAGTAACTGTATCGTCCCACAGCTGTGTGAGGTAGCTTATCCTCCGGTGGGGGGGTGGGAGATGAACTGGCTCCAAGGTGACATGTTTGGTACTGGAATATCGGAATCACACCAGCCCTCTAACGGTCTCTCATTCGGTTCCTGAGCCTGGAAGATCCACAATACGCCAATACATTGCTCAGCTCCTGTTAACCCTACAAACCAAAGCCCTAATGTAGGGTGCTCCAAACTGGACAAGCAGCGGGAAACCTTGCCAGGCAGTGCTCTCAATAGCAACAGCAATGGGAAGCTATGCAGTTTTAGCTGGTCTAAAACATGGCAGACAGTTGCGCACAGCAGCGTCCCACAAACAGTCATGGATTGAAGTGACCAATTTATTATTGTTTTTTTGAGGGATTATTATCAGGCGTGTGGAGCAAGGAAACTTGGCCAAGGTTTCACACTGCAGGGAATCAAACCCAGGTTTCTCGTTTGCGAGGCAAGTGCCCTAACCACTGAGCTACAGGACTCCACATTCCTGCACATTCACACTCCACAGGTTTCCTCGTGTGTCAGACACCCGGCTGCTCCCCAAAAATGAAGCACTTTAAGATGTCCTCCGCACATGACAGCGCTACGTAAAGTGTATTGCTTTGCTCCATGCTGGGCATCTTAAATTGATCTTGTTCTCTCTTCCACCCCTTTCCAGAGCCAGATTTCTCCTACCTTGATGCATTGGCACCTTACCAGCCACTGGCTATGAAGTGTGTTTACTGTCCCATTGACACTCGACTAAACTTTATACAAGTTTCTAAGTTACTGAAGGAGGTGCAGGTAAGTAGGGAGAGTGAATGAGGCTCTTTGCTGAGTGTGTATCGTTATCAGCCTGGCTCAGTTAGTAGTACTCTCGCCTTTGAGTCAGAAGATTATGGAACTTAAATAGTCTAAGCTGACAGTCCAATGCAGTGCTGAATTGTCAGAGGTGCTGTCCTCTGGATGAGATGTTAAACTGAGGGCCCATCTGCTTGTTTAGATGGACACTAAAGATTTTTGGTGTAATTTGTAAAGAGAAGGTAGTTTCTCTCTCCTGGTGTCCTGGCCAACAATTGCCCAGGTAAAACTGGTTACTCACTCCATGGCTGTTTGTGGGCACTGCTGAGCACAGATTGGCTTCTGCTTTTGCCCACAAAGTACATAGCCACTAACTTTAGAGTAAAGCGCTCGAAGACGCCCTCCTTACGTGAGGTTTACTGTATGAATATTTTGAGTGTTTGGCACAGTTTAGTGACTTGTGTTTGTTTCCCCTCCAGCCCTTACACGTTGTGTGCCCGGAGCAGTACACACAGCCCCCCCCAGCACAGTCCCACCGCACAGACCTGATGATTGACTGTCAGCCGGCAGCCATGGCCTATCGCAGGGCAGAGGTCCTCACCCTCCCCTTCAAACGTCGTTTCGAGAGGATCGAGCTCATGCGTGACGTAAGTGACCGCGTCTTGTCACCTGGGATGAGAGGAGAGACTGGCCAATGCTTCATGGTCTATACTGACGCTACAGTGTAGTGCTGGAGGAGCGGTGCATTGTCAGAGGTGCCGTCCTTCGAGTGAGACGTTAAACCGAGGTCCTGACTGTGGCTGTTCAGCGCCTTGGGACGTCCTCCTGACGTGAAAGGCGCTTTATAAATGGAATCTTGTTGTTGTTGTTCAGATGGATGTTAAAGATTCCATGACATAATTTGAAAAGTGAAGGGAGTTTCTGTCTCCGTGTCCTGGCCAACAATACTCCAGATAAAATTAGTCGCTCACTTCATGGGTGTTTCTGCGTCTCTAACCTCTGCAACTCCCGCACCACTCTGTCTCGCTCCCTCTTTCTGTCTTAAAGGTCTGCCTCAAATCCTGCCGCGTTAAATGGGTTTAATGCCAAACCCCCCCATCCCACTTGACATTGAACCCTATCCCTGTAAAGAGCCCAGAGACATTACCCTGCATGGAGGACACTATATAAAAACAAGCTATTGTTACTGATGCCACACAGATTGGATGGAATGCAATACAGTACATTAATGAGATGAGTGGGTAGGTTACTTGGATGGGTAGGAATATAGGAACAGGAGGAGGCCATTCAGCCCCTCGAGCCTGTCCCATCATTCTATGAGATCATGGCTGATCTGCACCTCAACTTCAATTACGTGCCTTTGTCCCATATCCCTTGATACCCTGACTAACAAATATCTACCCACCTCAGGCTTGAAAATGTGAATAGATCCACCATCCGCAGCCTTTTGGGGGAGAGAGTTCCAGATTAAGTGGGTGGGTTGGTAGGATGGGATGTTGGTTGGGTCGGGTGAGGGTCGGGGTGGGGGTAAAGGTTGGATGGGTGGGGACGGGGAAGGGTAAAATGGCTCTTAATCCAGGTAATGACTTGCACAATGTGCTTCCCTGACAGTTGGCTGAATCACTGGTGCCCTCTGAGATCAAGCCCGGTGTTTGCATGGCCACAGTCTCAGCCGTGCTACAGACCAAGGACAACAAACATGTTCTACAGGTGAGAGCAGGCGGAAGGCCCTGGTCACACCAGGACAGAAACAGCAAAAACTGGCTTCTCATCACATTGTGATGCCTCAATCAGCTTCCCAAGGAATTACTGTCAAGTGTAGTGACTGTTTTCTATGTAGGTTCCATAATAATAATTCTCGCATTTGATATAATGTCTCATCGCTTCATCAAGACATCTCAAAGCGCTTCGCAGAATATATTGGAAAGTGAATTGACTATCTATTTTGTGGGAGAAACACGGCAACCAATTGTGGACAGTAGTGTCCCACAGACAGTCGCGCTTTGAGACTTCCCAACAGCGTGATAAGATGCTTTATCGAATGCAAGGATTCTTCTTATTATTAATATTATTATTATTATTATCACGTGGGTATAAAACGCCCTCCAAATCTGTCTTTAGTTACTGACAGGGTTGGGAATGATCTCTGCCCTGACACTGAGTGGCATAAACAAAGACGGTGGTACGTGGAAGGGAAATGGTAGTCATAGCTTCAAACTAAATACACCCACAGTAAATCCTGTGAAGGGCTTTGAGACGTCTCGACGACATGCAATAATGTGCGATATCAAATAAAAGGATGATTATTGTTGATGTGTTACTGTTGGTGACTGACGCGCGTGCTGATCTTCTCCTCAGTCACTGCCGAAGCCAGCGCCCCCTGTAACGGGGAAGAAGAGGAAACGGGTGATGGAGTGCACCCCGGAATTCAAACCTCCCAAACCACTGCTCTGCGGCTCCATCAGCATCGAGCAGTTTGTGCAGAGTCTGGAGAAGGTGAGCAGCCCTGTGGCCTGTACCTGTGGGATCCTCAATACCTCCTGCCCCTCACACCAACATCACAGGCTATCACATCCCTCACCACGGCGCTCTGCGTGTGTGTCCTCCTGATATGAGAGGTGCTATACAAATGAAATTTGTTGTTGTTGTGTGTGGGGCACCGTGTGTGTGTCTGTGGCTTACTGTGTGTGTTTCCCTGTGGCTCTATGGTTGTGTGTGTCCCTGTGGCTCTGTATGTGTGTGTATCTGTGGTTGTGTGTGTGTATGTCCCTGTGGCTCTATCGGTGTTCGCGTGTGGTTGTGCACTCTGTGTGTGACTGACTCTAATCCCTACAGCTCTCTGATGCCGTCTAAAATCTTTGCCTTCTGGTTACGGCTGGCGCAGTGGTAGCACTCTCACTTCTGAGTCAGAAGTTTGTGGGTTCACGTCATACATTGGGATTTATCATCACACATTAGTGTCTAAGCTGACACTCCAGGGCAGTGCTGGGGGGAGGTGTTGCCGTTCTGCAAATGAGATGTTAAGCACAGACCCCGTCTGCCTGTTCAGGTGGATGTTTAAGGATCTCATGGCATTGTTTGAAAAGAGAAGGGATTTTCACTCTCCTGGCCAACAGTCCCCCAAATAAAATTGGCCATTCACTTAGTGGCTGTTGTGGGACCTTACAAAGCGCCCACAAAATACACAGTCACTCCATTTCACAGTAAATCCTGTGAGCGCTTTGAGATGTGCTTCCGACGTGATAGGACACTGTATCAAATGCAAGAATTATTATTAAAACAGCCCAAGTCTCTCAGCCCGGGGTATGTTCCTACCTCCTCTCACAGTCGTTCCCACAGGACATTGAAAGATGATTAGCAGATCCTCTTACGAATAGTACTACTTGCAACTGATTCACATCTCTAACAGGGAATTACTGTGAAGTGTAGTGACTGTGAGTTTGCAGGCTGGTGCTTTAGTGAAGTGTGTGGAAGCAAAACCAGCGAAGTATTGGATCTAACCAACAGAGACAGAGTTAGTCGAGTCCTGTAGCTCAGTGGTTAGAATATTTGCCTCGCAAGCGAGAGGACCCCGGTTCGATTCCCAGGCGGGTGAAAACCTTAGGCAAGTTTCCTTACTCCACACGCCTCTGTGTTACCCAGCAATAAATAGGAACCCGGTTATTAGTTGTTTGGCGGATCACTTTCTGGGAGAAATAATCCCTTCATAATAAATAAAATAACAATAATATGGTCACTCAATCCGTAACTGTTTGTGGAAAGCTACTGTGTGCAATTGGCTGCTGCGTTTTGCCGACAAAATACATACTCGACTCATTTTACGGTTTATTCTGTGAGGCATTTCAGACATCTCAATGATGTGATAAGTCACTATATCAAATGCAATTACAGTATCTCTTTGTTACTGGTTGCAGATGCCTCCTGTTGGGACCAGATTAAGCCGAGGACATCTTGTTAATATATATAGCTGATAGTTTCCTGTGTACTACATAGTAATGCTGTTAATCAACAAATTGTTACTTAGTCGCTAGCAGGTTGTAGTTTATATTAGAATAATAAATCCTGCATTTGATACAGCGCCTTGTCATGTTGTTGGGACATCTGATGGCTCTTCACAGAATTTCTACTGTGATGTTTAGTGACTGTATATTTTTAGGCGGACGTGACAACCGGATTGTGCGCAGCAAACAGCCATGAAATGAATGATCAATTTTATTTGGGGGATTGTTGGCCAGGCCACAGGGAGAGAGAACCTCCCTTCTCTTTTCAAATAGAGCCGCGGGATCTTTAACGTCTTTAACAAGACGAGAGCTCAATTCGGCTTCTCATCCGAAGGACGGCATCTCCGACAATGCAACATCCCCCAACCCTGCACTGGAGCGTCAGCGTTACCAAGTCCTGATGTGGGGGTTGAACCCACAACCTTCTGACTCGCTGACGAGAGCTGCCACTGAGCCAGGCTGCAATTTGCTTTAAATTGTTCCATTGATTTTCCATTCTCCTACCGCAGGACTGGATATTATATTACATCACATCACCTTCCTGCCGAGGTTTATTGTGGCCCATTAGTAACCCTACCCTCGTGTACACGCTCCTTGCCCCGTCTTCTCTGTGTGAGCGACAGGTGTGAGGGACAGACAGACAGACAGACGGGCAGAAAGGCAGGCAGAGGGTGCAAGGCACGTCTCAAGACCCTCCTCTTCGAAAGCGTCTTCACCCATCCTATTACCCCCCCCACCCTCCCTGGCCTCCCCCCTGCTGATCCCAAACCCCAGCTCGGGTCCAAATCACTGCCTGTCCTGTGCCTTGGGACGTCCTCCCGATGTGAAAGGCCCTGTGTAAATGTAAATGTAATTGCTGTTGGTTGTGTTATTGCTGCTGCTGAGCTGTGCCCTCTCTCCGCTCCCTGTCACACAGCATGGCATCGCAGACATTAAGGTTGAGGACACCCCTGAGGGCCACATCATCCACCTGCAGGCAGAGGACACCCTGATCCAGATCGACGAGGATTCCACGCACATCATCTGTGACAACAACGAACCTCTCCGCACCAAGCTGCGAGATGTGGTGCTCAAATTCCTACAGAAACTGTAACCTGCCAGGAACTCAGCCACCAGACACCACAGCCACCAGACACCACAGCCACCAGACACCACAGCCTCCAGACACCACAGCCACCAGACACCACAGCCACCAGACACCACAGCCACCAGACACCACAGCCTCCAGACACCACAGCCACCAGACACCACAGCCTCCAGACACCACAGCCTCCAGACACCACAGCCACCAGACGCCACAGCCACCAGACACCACAGCCACCAAATAACATGGCGAGAGGAAGCTGGGGCACTGGTTATACAGACAATAAGGCAGATTATTGTTAATTCTCACTGTGTTCTTATCCACGTGCCGCTTTACCCGTATCAGGTTCAGATGCGAAAGTCAAATCCAGCAGCGATTTCAGTGAAAATCTTCAGTTTTATAATACTTAAATTTTTTGATAATCCTCGCATTTGATAAAGTGTCTCAAAGAGCTTCACACGATATACTGTAAAGTGAAACAAAAAAACAGAAGTCGCTGGGAGCACTCAGCAGGTCAGGCAGCAGCTATGGAGAAAGGAATGTGAGTCAACGTTTTGGGTCCATGATCTCTCCGTCTCTCGCTCACCTTACCCTGTGCCTCTCTCTCTCTCTCTCTCTCTCTCACACACCGTGTGCTGTACCTCTATTACACTCTCCCAGCCTCTGATGCAGGTCCAGACACACAGTGCAATCACTCTGTCAATGAGCACAATTAAAGGCACTTGAGAAAGCACAGTCTCCCGCAGCAGATATGTAGGTACAGTAGAGAGTGTGGAGTGTAGATATGGACCTGTGGATATGTGGCGTGTATCTATCTGGGTTGCAGATATGCGGTACTTGTACAAGGATATGGGATGTATCTTTGCAGTGTTCAGATATGCAGTTGGCAGACATAATAATTATCTTTGCATTTGATATAGCGCTTTATCATGTCGTCGAGACATCTCAAAGTGCTTCACAGGATATATTGCAAAGTGAATTGACTGCATTTTGTGGATGAAGAGCGCAGATGTATGGAGTGCACATAAACTGCTTTGAACTACGGTTCAGATTTGACAATGTCACTTTAGCACCACAATAGGGAAGGTTCGGGATATTTAGTGAACTGGAATCAGGAAATTAGCTCAGATATTCAACACCATTTCCTTTCCCACCGCCCGAGTGCCCTCTCCTCACACAGTTTCTCTTGTCCCATTACTATTGTTGGGTCTGGTTTAACCCCTCGAGTGCCATTCGGTATTTTTAAAAACTTGTAATAAAATAGCACACATGTAAATACAGTAACTGAGTCCCTGGGTTTTTATCTCCATTAAAAGCAGCTTCAGATGTGACAGTGCAACGTCTTTCTTCGCTCTGGATTTTATTGAAGAAATGTAATTACTTAAATAATAACTGCAACAACAACTTGCGTTTATATCGCCCCCTTCACAAGGTGGAGCATCTCAGAGAACTTAACATTGGCGGAGCCTGATGCCGAGCCAGGGGGAGGTGGCGGTAAGCACTGTCGAAGAGGAAGGTCTTCAGGCTTGATCTGAAGACGGACAAAGAGCGGGCAAGGCGGAGAGATTGAAAAGTTCCAGAGTTTCGGTGCATAGTGACTGAAAAAAACGGCCACCGATGGTGGATGCAAGGGACAAGCAGGAGGCCAGAGTCAGCTGAGTGAGGGGACAGGCAGAGAGTGAGGAGTAAGCAGAGGTAGGGAAGTGACAGAGGGTATGAAGAGTGGGGGAAAATAAAATTTTATTTCACATCAGATTAGTGGAATCCCACAGAGATGCTGTTCTAGATTGTGCGCCTCATTCAGATAAAGACTACTCCCGGGAAACCTGTATGGTAATGGTTGCAACTCATTGCTGTTGGGCTGTGCTGTACGTCTATGCTCCTCTCTGTTTATCATCAGCATCAAAGCTGTTCCCGATGTGGGAGCCCTTCCCCTCTCCGGTTCAATCACATCTTACACCAGAGACCTGGATCACCTGTACACTGTGTTGTCAATTACAGAATTACATTGATTGTAAAGCACTGTAAATGTTCATCCCAACTACTCCATTGGTGTTGTTTGTTAGGACACTAAACAGCCTTCATCTCTCTTTATCCCACACTCCTTCCCCCACTCCCACACCTGATATCCCCCCATTCTCACCCCGAAGCTCGGGTGCCCAGCCAGCAATGTAAAGCTCTTTCCCACGTGAAAGCTGCTAAATAAATGTAATTTGTATTGTCCATCTCCCTGATGTATGCATCAATTTCCTCTAAAACATACCATCGAAGCTGATGCTCCAGGACAGTGCTCCACCACCCTTTCACGCAGTGTATTCCAGACCATAACAACTCGCTGTGTAAAAATATGTCGCCTCGTCTTCCCTCTAGTTCTTTTGCCAATTATTTTAAATCTATGTGACTTGGTTACTGACCCACCTGCCAGTGGCAACATTTTCTCCCTCTTTATCAAAACCCTTCATAATTTTAAGGACCTCTATTAAATCTCCCCTCAACCTTCTCCGCTCTGAGGAGAAGAATTCCAACTCTTCTGGTCTCTCCACATTACTAAAATCCCTCACCCCAGGTACATTCTGATAAATCTCCTCTGCACCATCTCCAAGGTCTTGATATCCTTCCTAAAGTGTGATGCCCAGAATTGGACACCATACTCCAGCTGAGGCCTAACCAGTGACTTATAAAGGTTTAGCAGAACGTCTTTGCTTTTGTACTCTATGCCTCTATTCATAAAGCCAAATGTTTTTTTAATAGCTCCTTCAACCTGTCCTGCCACCTTCAAAAGCCTGTGATCCCCAGCTCTCTGCTCCCGAATCCCCTTTACCATTTACCAATCCAACTGTACCATTTATTGTATATTGTCTCTCTTCATTCTTCCTCCCAAAATGCAGCACCTCACTCTTCTCCACATAAAACTTCATCTGCCATGTGTCTGCCCATTTCACCAGTCTGTCTATGTCCTCCTGCAGTCTGCCATCCTCCTCCTCACTGTTTACCACATCCCCAAGTTTTGTGTCATCTGCAAACTTTAAAATGTTGCCCTTTATACCCAAGTCTAAGTAATTTAAGTGACCAAAAAAGAGCAGTGGACCTAATATCGACCCCTGGGAGACACCACTGTATACTTCCCTCCAGTCTGGAAAAAAAACATTCACCACTATCCTCTGCTTTTTGTCTTCCAGATAATTTTGTATCCATGCTCCCAAACTTCCTGTTAGATCTGTTACCTGATGACTTATATTGATGCCCTCGAGTTTTGGGCTCATCAACATGTGGAAACAACCTATTAACATTCACATTATCAAATGCTTTCATAATTTTAACCATCTCCATCAGGTGCCCCCTCAGTCCTTTCATTTTCTGAGAGAGAAGCTGGAACCTCCCAATCTTCCTTGATATCCACTCAGCCCTGGTCACATCCTTGTAAATCTGTACTGTCCTCTCTCTAATGCTACATCTTACCTGTGCAGGTTGCCAAGAGCCAAGGATTGGGGACCCCAGAGTGTGTGTTGGGGTCTAATCAGCTAAAACTGCATAGTTTGCCATTGATATCGCCGCCTGGCCAAGCTTTCCTGCTGATTGTCCAGCTGGGACCACCCTACCCGTTTGGGCTTTGGCTTGCAGGGTTAACAGTAGCTGGGTGGAATGACTCTGTGCCCCCAGTGACTGGTCTGCCCTTCCAGGTCCTGCCGATGATCCAGGCCGGGCTGTCATCAGCAGTGCCCTGGAATACTACTGACCTGCCTGGCTCAGGAACTAGACTGGAGACCGCCACAGAGGACTGGCTGGATTCCGACATTCAAACATGTCACCTTGGAGCCACTTCAGCTCTAAGAGACCCCACTTATTTCCACCAAGGAGGATAATCACTAGTTTGATGTTACCTGTAATAGAGCAACTAAAATCCAGGGACAGAGCACATTCCATTCCACAGAAATGTCCATGTGTGGGTGACGTACATATATGGAACTCTTGGTCTAGTTTGGATATTTTGAAGCACGCTGATGTGTCAGACACCTGGCTGGACAAAAAAATGAGGACTAATAACATTTGATGCAGTGCTTTCCATGTCTGGAGGACGTCTCAAAGCACTTCACAGGATAACACTGCAAAATGTAGTGACTGTGTGTTTGTGGGCGAACGCAGCAGCCAATTTGCATCCAGCAAAGTCCCACAAACAGCCATGGAGTGGGTGAGTCATTTTTATTCGGGGGATTGTTGGCCATGACACGGTGGTGGGGGAAAGAGGAAGCGGGCAGAGGGCCTGGATGGGTGACGCCCAAAATCCTGTGTTCCTGTTGTAACACGCTCAGCACTTGATCAAAACGGTGCTTTCACCTCCTCAAAGCAGATGCACACACATCTTGTCCCGGCTTTGTTTTGTTCAGATGTTTGTGTTCTGCTCATTTCACGTCAGACAAGAAGTTGGTTTACTGAGCTCAGAGTTCGGTGCGGGAGGGGGTGGGGGTGGGAACACCAGCTCAGCTTTGATCTGAAACCTAAACCACAGCACGAATGACACCCGGCAGTGTCCCACACCAGCCTCCGCACACAGCACCTCTCCTGCTCGGGGTGGGCTATGTTGTGGGAGTGTTGTGCTTTGGATGAGATGTTAAGCCGAGGTCCCGGGTACCTGTTCACTTCGATGTTATAGATTCCGCGGCACTGTGTGAAAAGAGAAGGGGGGTTCTCTCTCCCGCTGTCCTGGTGACAACTGTTCAGATAAAATTGACCAGATGAAATTGTTAATTTACTTAATGTCTGTGGGACATTGCTGTGCGCAAATACATATCCCCGGAAACCAATCCACAAATCGATTTAACAACCGGGTTCCTCCTTGTTGCTGTGTAAGCGGTGGTGTGGAGTAAGGAAACTTGTCTAAGGTTTGGCCCTGCCCGGGAATCGAACACGGGTCCTTTTGCCTGCGAGGTGAGCACGGTAACCACTACACTACAGGACTCCACTAAAGTGGAGGAGAGAGGAAGAGACAATCTAATCTGTCGCATACAGAGAGCAGTTCAGGGAGGATGAAGGGCTTAGATATCTATTTATAGTGAACGCTGGGAATCATCACTGCAGTAAATTGATGGATAATATCCCAAAAGGTTGCAAACAGCCAGAATGTGGTCAGGGAGCGCGCAGTGAGCTGCTGACTGTCATCTGTCACCACTGAACTATTATCCTCTGAAAAACTCTCCCATCTGTTCCATTTCTGACTGTTTCTGATCCCGATTATGAGTGAGAAAACACATCCACCCAAACTTTAGGAGGATGCGCAAAGAGCAGTGAGGCTGATCCCAGTGTTAGAGACAGAGGAGAGCAGTGAGGCTGATCCCAGTGTTAGAGACAGAGGAGAGCAGTGAGGCTGATCCCAGTGTTAGAGGCAGAGGAGACAGTGAGGCTGATCCCAGTGTTAGAGACAGAGGAGAGCAGTGAGGCTGATCCCAGTGTTAGAGACAGAGGAGAGCAGTGAGGCTGATCCCAGTGTTAGAGACAGAGGAGAGCAGTGAGGCTGATCCCAGTGTTAGAGACAGAGGAGAGCAGTGAGGCTGATCCCAGTGTTAGAGACAGAGGAGAGCAGTGAGGCTGATCCCAGTGTTAGAGACAGAGGTTCAGTCTATTGCACTGACAACTGAATCCAAACTGGTATCCTCACCTGTACTGAACTCTGCCCCCATCACACCAGTCCTCTCTGGGCTCCATTTGCTCTGTCGCAGAACAGATCAATTTCAAGATCCTCACTCTCATGTACAAATCCCTTCACGGCTTGGCTCCTCCCTGCCTTTCCAGCCTTACTCCTCAACCCATGACCCGCTGCTCTCCGCTCGTCTGGCTCCAGTGTCCTGCTTGTCCCTTGTGTCCTCTGCTCCACCATTGGCAGCCGTGCTTTCACACACTACGCCTCGAAACTCTGGAACTCTCCCTCAACCCCCTCCTTCCCCATTTTCAGATCAGACATGAAGACCTTCCTCTTTGACCGGTGCTGATGGTCTCCTCCCCCTCGGCTGGGTGAGTGCTCCGCCAATCCCTCCGAGACGCTGCACGGTGTGAAGGGCTGCGTTGTTGTTGCATTCACATTGAGAAAAAAAAACTCCCCAAAATGTTGTAAATAAAACCCAAAGTTTAATACTTTTGGGGGGGGAAAAAAAACCTGTTGTAATGTAGCTGATCACACAGTGGCTCCTGATCGCCTGACCTGCTCCCCGGCCTCCGAATGGTTACCTCTGCACGGGGAGGGTGGGGGGGACAGTCAGTCACTGAGCTCCTCTGTAAAGTGCTGCTCGACTCCCTCCCGATCAAGGTGTCTGTGAGATGTGTCTCTGGTGCTCTCAGCCGGGGTCAGTCATGGGTTTTGGCAATTGGGGAACATCCACCTCCCATCTCGTTGTGTTGTCCCATCTTTTATTCTCGCCTCCCTCCCCAACCCTCTTCCCCCCCCACCACCCCCACACACACCTTTCACACTCACCCCCGAGCTTCCTGTCTGGCAACCGTTGACGTTTTGGGGATGGGTTTACAGATATTCCTCTCTTCTTCTCTCTCATTCACTCTCTCGCATTTTCTCTTTCTCTCTCGTTCTTTCTCTCGTTTTCTCCGTCATCCGTTTTCTCTTTCTTTCATTCTCTTTTGTGCTCATTCGCTCTTTAATTCTCTTTCTCTCTCATTCTTGTTTTCTCTCTCATTTTGTTTGTTCTCTTTCTCATTCTCTCTCTCTCGTTCTCTCTCTCACACCGCACCGTTTGCCTCCGCTTACAGGCATCACAAAGTATGAATTAAATATGAGCAGCGAGATGGAGGCTGGTTAGAAGATGAGGTGAACATAAAAGTGAGCGAGTGGGGGTGGTGGGGGGAGAGGGAGAAGAATGGGGGAGGAGAATGGGGTGAATGCAGTGTTTTTACCCTCTTCCCCCCTGACTCATAAAGTTTTGGCAACGAATTGTCCAGTATGTGCGAGTGAGAGCCCACCTCCCTCATGTGTGGGTGCGCTCTCTCGCTCCCTCTCTCTCTCTCTCTCTCTCACTCTCCTCCTCAGATGAACTTGAAGCACTTGGTCTTGTCGTGAGGCAGTCGGGTTTTGAAGAGCACTGAGTCCACGCGGAACTGTGTGTAGAGCAGCGGCATGTAGCCGTACACCTTCACAAAGAAGTTGATACACTTGTGACGCTCGTGAAAGTGAGAGTCATCGTGAGACAGAGCCTGTGGGCAGCCCGGGCAGCGGAACGTCCAGCGAGACGTCACCTGGGAGGCAGAGAGAGAGAGAGAGGGGTATCACTGTCAATATCAGACTATATAGAGGTCTCACTGTTAATATCAGACTATATAGAGGTGCTCACTGTTAATATCAGACTATATAGAGGTGTCACTGTTAATATCAGACTATATAGAGGTTCTCACTGTTAATATCAGACTATATAGAGGTCTCACTGTTAATATCAGACTATATAGAGGTTCTCACTGTTAATATCAGACTATATAGAGGTCTCACTGTTAATATCAGACTATATAGAGGTTCTCACTGTTAATATCAGACTATATAGAGGCTCTCACTGTTAATATCAGACTATATAGAGGTTCTCACTGTTAATATCAGACTATATAGAGGTGCTCACTGTTAATATCAGACTATATAGAGGTTCTCACTGTTAATATCAGACTATATAGAGGTCTCACTGTTAATATCAGACTATATAGAGGTTCTCACTGTTAATATCAGACTATATAGAGGTTCTCACTGTTAATATCAGACTATATAGAGGTCCTCACTGTTAATATCAGACTATATAGAGGTGTCACTGTTAATATCAGACTATATAGAGGTCTCACTGTTAATATCAGACTATATAGAGGTTCTCACTGTTAATATCAGACTATATAGAGGTGCTCACTGTTAATATCAAGACTATATAGAGGTGCTCACTAATAATATCAGACTATATAGGTGTCACTGTTAATATCAGACTATATAGAGGTGCTCACTGTTAATATCAGACTATATAGAGGTTCTCACTGTTAATATCAGACTATATAGAGGTGCTCACTAATAATATCAGACTATATAGATGTGTCACTGTTAATATCAGACTATATAGAGGTGCTCACTGTTAATATCAGACTATATAGAGGTGTCACTGTTAATATCAGACTATATAGAGGTGTCACTGTTAATATCAGACTATATAGAGGTGCTCACTGTTAATATCAGACTATATAGAGGTGCTCACTGTTAATATCAGACTATATAGAGGTGTCACTGTTAATATCAGACTATATAGAGGTGTCACTGTTAATATCAGACTATATAGAGGTGCTCACTGTTAATATCAGACTATATAGAGGTGCTCACTGTTAATATCAGACTATATAGAGGTGTCACTGTTAATATCAGACTATATAGAGGTGTTCACTGTTAATATCAGACTATATAGAGGTGCTCACTGTTAATATCAGACTATATAGAGGTTCTCACCGTTAATATCAGACTATATAGAAATGTCACTGTTGATATAGGGAGCTCATTGCTGTATAAAGAATTGCTTGAGTTTTAACCAACTAAAACAACAACAATTTACACAGCGCCTTTCCCATCAAGAGGACGTACCAAGGCGCTGGACAGTCGGGGATTTGGACGTGAGCTGGGGGTTGGGATCAGGAGGAGTCTAGGGCAGGGAGGGTAGGAGGGTGACCGAAGGTGAGGTTGAAGAGGGACTTGAAGACGGAGGGAGCCAGGCAAAGCGGGTGGGGGGATCCAGGCAAAGGGACTGTGAGATGGAGTTCCAAAGGGTAGGGGCAGAGTAAAACAGCACAAGCTTTGTACTGCTGGTTCAGCCAAGACCAACTGGACCTTTGGCTTGCAAGGATTAACAGGATCTGAATGGGAAAAATCGCAACCTGGAAGAGGAGCTCCACCACTGGTGCTAACACCCGGTGTTTTATTGTGTGAGGGGCCGGGCTGTGCCGTGATCACAGTCACCTTGATGGGGGGCTTCCTGGTGATGTGGGAGACGAGGAAGTTCATGGCGATGTCCTCACAGTTGATGTACTCGTCCACCATGTCGCGGATGGCCTGGGGCATGACGTAGGAGTACAGGTAGGCGTAATACTACAGAGAGCAGAAAGACAGTCACACACACAGCATAGAGCACAACCCCACCCAGCACCACAGCCACTCCATCCCAATGCACACAATCTTAAAATAAACCCCGAAAACACTCTCTGGGTTCCCCAAGCCTCAGCTCTCACCAGCCTGCGCCTAATACGCTCTGGGATTAGGTAATCAGGATGTGTCCCTCCAAAGAGAGAGGGTGCACATTACATTCTCAATACACAGGGAAATTTTCATGTGTCGGTGGTGTTATGTAAGTGGCAACAACAACAATGAATGACTTCAGGAGCACGTCCCAGGGTGCTGGACAGTTAAGAGTTTGCACCCGAGATGGGGATTGGAATTATGAGGGGTGTAGTATAGGGGGAATGGGGGTGGGAATGTGGCAGAAGGCACAATCGAAGAGGAAGGTCTTGAGACAGATCTTGAAGGAGGTAAGGGAGGCGGCTAGGTGGAGAGGGTGGGGGCAGAGAGGCTGGAGGCCTGACCGGCGATGTTGAAGCGGGCAGGATGGGGGATGTAGATCAGGCAGAATGGAGAGAGACACAGGTTGTTAAGTGGTCAGAGTGACAAGTGGGGAGGCACGACCATGGAGAGCTTTAAAAGTGAGGACAAGTATCTTAAACTCAGTCTGTGTTGTACACTGTAAAGCACAGTGACCAGAAGTCAAAGACTCTCAAAACCTTGCGACTCGGAGGCAGGGAAACCAATGAGGAGCTGATGATTGTCACTAGAATAAAAGACAACAGGAACGCTTGGTAATGAACCCCCTCCCCACCCACCACTTGACGGGGTCTCCAAACCTTGTGGAAGAAGGCGGCTCCTGTCAGTACCATGGAGAGCTCACAGGAATAATTGGAGTTGTAGAGCCACGACTGGTGGTTCATGTCCCAGGCGTGGTATCTGCCCGGAAACCCCACGATTCGGTCCCTGGCCTCGCGCCACACTCTGGGGGGGCAATTCATAACAATAGGAATTAATCATTTGATATCACAACAACAACTTGCATTTACATAGCGCCCCTCACCTTGGGTAGTATCCCAGAGCACTTGACACTAAGCCGGGGGGGTGACGGGGGGGGGTCGAAGAGGAAGGACGTCAGGCACGACCTGAAGATGGAGAAGGAAGGGGCAAAGTGGAGGGATACGGGAAGAGTGTTCCAGAGTTTAGCGGGTGGGGTAGTGGGTGAAAGCAAATCACCAATGGTTGAATGGAGGGCACGAGGGACAAGCAGGAGGCCAGAGCCAGTCGAACAGAGGCAGTGGGTTGGGGGGTAAGCAGGTTGGAGGGGTAGTGAGGTGCCAGGGCATGAAGGGATTTGAAGACAAGTGTGAGGATCTTTAAATCGATCCGTTCGGTGATAGGGGAGGGGAGAAACCTTAGGCAAGTTTCCTTACTCTGTTTACGTAGCAGTAAGCAGGAACCTGGTTGTTAGTCGATTGCCAGATCGCTTTCCAGGGGTAATAATCCCTCCCAAAAAAATGTGGTCATTCAATCTATAACTATTTGTGGGACACTGTTATTTACAATTGGCTACCGCTTTTCACCCACAAAATACACAGTATATTCTGTGAAAAGATGTCTCAACTACATGATAAGGCGCTATATCAAGTCCAAGGATTATTATTATTATAAATTATAGATGTAAAAAACAGCTGGTATGAACATCAACCAGCAAAAGTGACATCAAAAAATAACATCACTATAATCTGGGATTTACGAGTACATACAGCCAGAACAGTAATCTGTAACAAAACAGATATTATCATTAAGACCCAACTAGATTGTGTACGTAGTATTATAGATGTGGCTATTCCAAGGGATTAATTACAATGTAAAAACTAGAGAAGATCAGGAAATATAGCAATCTACAAACTGAATGTGGGCGAACGTGACAGTATTAAACTTGGTTATTATAATGATCGGTGTAACTGGGGCTGTTAATGAGATTATTCAGAAATAGCGGACAAAATACCTGGTGAACAAAATATCAACCTGCAAAACGTAGCTAGTTTAGGAAGCTCAGACACAGTAAGAAAAGTAATGTCCATTTATATGTAATGTGGCAGTGTTATTGGTCACTGAAAACCACTCATAAATTACAACCACAGAGTGATTTAAACTGTAATAACATGATAATAATAATAATAATCATCTTTGCATTTGATACAGCACCTTATCACATTGAGATATCTCAAAACACGTCACAGGATTCTTACTGAAACGTACCACATAGTGACTGTGTGTTTTGTGGGTGAACACAACAATCAGTCTGCGCATCGCAGTGTCCCCCAACCAGCCAGGAAGTGACTGACTGATTTTTTTGGCGGGGGTGAGGGGGACGTCAGCTGAATAATCCCAGATTGTCAGGACAGGCCAGACATTCTCTCTTTGAACAGGCCGCAGGATCTTTAAAGTCCACCTGACCAGGCAGACGGATTTAAGGTCTTATCTGATCCCTATCGGGTAATAATAATCCTAGACAAGCAGTGGGAAAGCTTGTCAAACAGTGATACCAATGGCAAGCTATGTGGGTTTAGGTGGTTAGGCTCCAGCAGTCACCCCAATTCATACTCTGTAGTTCCCAAACCTTGGCTCTCGCCGACCTGCCTAATACTCTCCGGAATTAGGTAAACAGGATGTGTCCTTCAAGGGAAAGAGTGCGCATTCCACTCCTATAATCTCTCTGGGATTTCCATGTGTAGGTGGCAGTATATATGTGGAACTCTCAGTCCAAATTGGATACTTAAGCACGGTGACGGGTTTCCGCACTAGGCTGACCCAAAACTATATTTCTAATAGCATCACACGGTCTTTAACATCCACCTGAACTGGGGAATTGGGCATCAGTTTCCACATTGCATCTGAAGGACGGCTCCTCCGACAATGCAGCGTTCCAGAGAGCAGGGCAGAACGGGTTAAAGCTCGCTCACTGATGGTGGGGATGTGTTGTATGGGGGTTGTGAAGGAGGCCATGTTTGATAAGCGAAGGGAGTGGGTGGGTTGGCAGGAGGTTTGTGACTGTGGGGGGGGGGGAGACTGTGGAGGAATTTAAAAGTGAGAACGAGAATTCTCTGGGGGTTGGGGAGTCAGTGGAGCCGGGGGAAGATGTGACAGGATCACGGAGCCTGGTGTGGGAGAGGACACAAGCTGCAAAATTTTGGATGGTTTTCAGCTTATGGAGGGCAGAGCCAGACTTATTTGCTCTCTGGGGGAGGGGAGGACAACAGCAACCAGGAAGTGCTCACCGGAAGCCAAACATGATCTCGTCATGGCGGAGGTGGGCGTCGTCATCGATGGACAGAATGGCCTCGGTCTCGATGACATCCCAGGGCAGGAAGCGGTTGTTCAGGCTGTTCTTCTCAGTGTGAACCACCTGGCGGGGAAACAACAACAACAGTGACCCAGAGTGGGAGTCGAGACCTGCTCCTCACAAACTGCCCTACATTCATCCCCGACCCCCCACACACTGACCCCCCCCCCCACACACTGACCCCCCCCCCCACACACTGACCCCCCCCACACACTGACCCCCCCCCCACACACTGACACACCCCCACACACTGACCCCCCCCCACACACTGACACACCCCCACACACTGCCCCCCCCACACACTGAGCCCCCCCACACTGACCCCCCCCCCCCACACACACTGACCCCCCCCACACACTGACACACTCCACACACTGACAACCCCCCCACACACTGACCCCCCACACACTGACCCCCCCACACACTGACCCCCCCCACACACTGGACCCCCCCCACACACTGACCCCCCCCACACACTGACACACCCCCACACAGACACACCCCCACACACACTGACCACCCCCCCACACACACTGACCACCCCCCCACACACACTGACCACCCCCCACACACTGACACCCCCCACACACACTGACCCCACCCCCCCCCACACACACACACTGAACCACCCCACACACACTGCCCCCACACACACCGACACCCCCACCACACACACACTGAACCCACCCCACACACATTGACACCCCCCACACACACACTGACACCCCCCCCACACACACTGACCCCCCCCACACACACTGATCCCCCCCACACACACTGACCTCCCCCCACACACACTACCCCCACCCACACATACACACTGACCCCCTCCCACCCCCACACACACACACATACTGACCACCCCCAACCCCCCCCCCAACACACACACACACACACACTGACTACAAAGCTCCCACATCGAAATCTAACATACCAATTCTTTCCATTATTTCAAATACCTCAATTGAATCTTAACCTTGACTTCCTCTTTACTGAGGACTTAACCCGAGTCTACACGGCCTCTCACTACAACAACAATCACTAGGATTTATATAGCGTCCTCCACGCCGGACAGAGCGCTTAAACACCCTCTAAGGCTGGGATACCTTCAACACAGAGGTCTGCCACTAAAGGAGGTTTGTACCCATCACACCAGTCCTTGCCAGGCTCCACTGGCTCTCTATCACTGAACGGATCAATTTCAAGATCCTCTCACTCGTCTATAAATCCCTTGACCCCCTGGCACCTCCCGACTGCTCTGATCTTCTTGCTCCCTCATCATCCACCGCCTCCGCTCTGCTTGCTCTGGCCTCATGTTTGTCCCTTGTCCTCTCCGCTCCACCATCAGTCACTACCCTCAAAAACTCTGCGACTCCCTCCGTCGATCTCCGAGTTGCCCCTCCTTCCCCCTTTTCAGATCACACCCGAAGGCCTTCCTCTTTGATCGTGCTTATGGTCAACGCCCCCTTCTCCCCGGCGTGGCGTTGGGCTCCGCCACTGTTAAGCGCTCTAAGACGCTGCCCTGCATGAAGGGCGCTATAAAAGCAAGTTGTTGTTGTCTGACTGGATTAACCAGAGGAAATAATAATTTTGTTTATGACACAGTAACGATAAAATCAAAACAACTCATAGCACTTCACGGGGAATTGTCGTGAGTGTATTTGGTCACCAAGAGTAGTTTGACCACAGCATTGTCCCACACACAGCCGCGGAGTGAGTGATTCATTTTATTTGGGAGATTGTTGCTCTAACCACTACATTATGGGATTCTCATCTGAAGGATGGCACCTCTGACAATGCAGTGACCCTCCACTCCCCCCAGCATTGTGCTGGAATGTCAGCCTGAACTGTGGGCTCCCTGTGTGCTTGAACCCATGAGCTTCTGATGAGGTGAGAGTGCGGGTGACTGCGCCAGGCTGGGACCTGGTTGTTGAAATCTACAGGTTACATCCTTACCACGATGGGGACTCCTATGTCAGGCCACAAGAGGTCTTCGGAGGGTGATTTGGGGGAGTTCCACACCACCAGGACCTTGTTTAAGTAGGGAAGTCCATTCAGTCTCTCCAGGGAGTTCATGAGGACTTCCTCTCGTTCGTAGGTCAGCATGACCACAGTGAACTGTTCCCTGGGAACGTTCCCTCCCAGCGCTGCCTGGAATTCCCTCCCGGAGCCTCCAGCCCCCGCCCCGATGGGCCTGAACCCTGTGCCGGAGCCCAGGAACTTGGCCTCGGAGGGCAGCACTGGGTCGAAGGGGGTGTGGGGGAAGAGGTGGAAGGGCCCCGGGGCTCTGTTCCAGGTCCTGTACATGTCGAGGACGGTGACGGTGAAGTTCCTCAGGTATTTGGGGGAGGCGTAGGGCGGCTCCGTCTCCACCGGCCCCAGGTCCAGGTCCCCGGTGTCGGCCATGTTGGGGTCGGTGCCCGCAGCTTTGCCCGACTTGTGTGGGATCTCGCTGGACCTCTCCTCGGCGATGGGGGCGGCCGGGATCTGCAGCCTGGTCCTCACCGTGGCCAGGACGGTGTTGAGGACGCTGTCGGAGGTGGAGAAGTAGGTCTCCCACAGGAAGCGGCCCTGACGTCTCATGTTCAGGAGGTCGTTGTCAGAGAGGCTCCTCAGCAGGAAGTGAAGCTCAGTGATGCGCGGTTTGGGCACCACCAGCGCGGCCTCACTCCACCGCACGGTGTCTTGATAGGGCAGTTCAGCGTGCTCGCCCAGCACCACAGGGATAGCACCCGCCTCCAACGCCTCAAACAGCCTGAAGGCACAGCCCGCGGAAGCCAGCAGCCTGCTGTCGCCCGGGGTGACGATCAGCACGAAGGTGGACAGTTTCAGCAGCTCCAGCCGGTGGTCTCGCTCCCCGCACAGCGCCCACTCGGTGGGCAGGCTGGGACGTGCGGGGCTCTTGCAGGTGAACTCCACCAGCACCAGGTCCAGCTTACTGTCCTGCACGGCCTTCAGCGTGGCGATGATCCTGTCGTCATAGTCCGCAGGCGCGTTGCCCTCCATCTCCTCCTCGAATGACCGGGCCTCCTGTAGGCTGGAGCGCAGCGACTCGATCTTCTCCCCCTGCAGAGAAACAGCAACCAGATCAGGTCAGCTATAACAAGCTTCAGTACAGCTCCCAGCGCGGGTCAGCCCACACCACGGACATCAGCCACACGTCCTGCACAGAGGACATGGGACGTGACATCCACAGCACTTCCTGCATAAATGCACATCAATGACATCAGTGGCTCTTCAAATGCAGAACACACTGTAAGTCAACCTCAGGGAAAATCCCGAGACTCTGCCTCGACCGCCCTGTGTTAACCGTCCTCGCAAACCGCCCGCCCTCACACGCAAAACACCGCCCGCCCTCACGGGCAAACACACCACCCGCTATAACAGGCAAACACACCGCCCGCCCTCACAGGCAAACACACCGCCCGCCCTCACAGGCAAACACACCGCCCGCCCTCACAGGCAAACACACCGCCCGCCCACTCCGTGGCTTCTGGCACCTGGAAGCTGAAGAGATATTTCCTCTTGACAGGAACCTGCGGTGGGATCTCCAGGAAGTTGGGCTCGGACATGGCGTGGACGAGAGGAGAGGCCACCACGTCAAATCCGGGCCTGTACTGAGCCTGGTAGAAGGTGGACTGTGCTACCATGGCTCTGCCCGTGCTGACGTTATACAGCAGGTTCTGGGTCTGTGAGCGCTTGGACAGGTTCAGGAGGATGTGGTTGCGTCCGTCCGCTCTCCAGTACGGCAACGAGTGCAGCTGCTTCTCCAGCTCGCCAGGCGTCATCGAGGTGGCTTCCAGCAGTTCCCCCACCAACACCACGTACACACAGGCTATCTCAGCATTGTCCGTCACATAGGCATTAGTCTGTACACTGGCCTGGGGTCAGAGACCAACAGCAACATTAATACATATATCATATTAATAATAACAATCCTTGCCTTCAATATAGCACCTCATCACGTCAGTTTCAGCCACAATACAGTCAATACAGATTATTAATTGTATTATTAAATATTATTAATTGTACTCTTGCCTGGAGTCAGGGAATAAGAGGAACATTATTAAATAATAAATAATTATATTAATATTATTCATCCCTATAAATCTAGCCCCCACCACAGCCCCCTTGATTTACCTGCAAGGCCTGCCTGAGGGCGGGGTCGATGGCGGGGGTGAGGGGGTTCTGCTCAGGGGAGTAGACGTAGACGGGAAAGGCGGAGGTCAAGGGGCAGCGAGAGTAATCGAAGCAGGTGTGGAGGCGGCAGGAGGCGGGGTTCCGGGGTGGGGGCATGTCCACCTCGTCCTTGGCCGGGAGCAGCCGGACGGGGAGTGAGAGGCGAGGCTGGTTCTGGGCTACCAGCTCCTTGTAGGAATGCTCGGTCTGGCTGATGACGTTCTTGAGCTGGAGCAGGTCTTGTTTGGCGTTCTCGATGCTCTTCTTACAGGAGTCGATCTTGGTGTTGAGCCGTGCGATCTCGCTGTTCAGCTCCTGTCTCTTGGCCTCCAGCTGGAGCAGCTCCTCGCTCACCGACTCCCGGATGCGGCACAGGTCGTGGACGTGCCTGACCTCGCACAGCGACCCCCCGGCTCGAGCCTCGAAGATACGGGGTCCAGCCTCGTCCAGCCCCCCGTCAATAGTGGTCAGGTAATAGTGGGCGATCAGCGGGAAAAAAACCAGGATGATGAACAGCGTGAAGCTGAGCCATGTCAGCCGGATGCGGTTGGACCATCTCAGCATACACGGCTGCCCTCCATTCCCAACACCTCCGTTACGCAGCATGATACAGACCATGAGGTTAGACACCCGGGGGATGAGGGAGAGAGAGAGGGGGGGAGAGAGAGGGATATTGAATGGAAGATACAGAATTGGAATGAATGTAGGAGAGAGTGGGATGGAGAAGAGTGAGATGGAGGAGAGTGGGATGGATGGAGAGAAGAATGGAGGGCTGGAGGAGAGGGATGGATGGAGAGAGGGATAGAGGGCTGGAAGAGAGAGGGATGGATGGAGAGAGGGATGGAGGAATGGAAGGAGGAACAAAGACTAACGTGTATAAGTAGATGGTATATAAACACCAAAAAAAGGGAAGAAAAAAAATTCCCGCTGGGAATCAGGTGAGCTCAGTATCCATGGCAACCAAATGTCCCATTATATTCGAGGGTCCAAAGGTTTAACATATTCTGCTTTTCCTTCTTTCCGGCCTCTCGCCTCGAGGTCGGGAGTAAACGTGCATCAGGGCCAGTAGAACGGGAATTTCATCTTCAACCCAACAGCTCCCTCCCCTCCTCCCTCCACTGCGGAGCGAGGTTAAAGGTCGCTCGCTAACACCGTTGCCATGATGAAGGGCGTCCTCGTGGGGTGGGTGGGTTCTCAGGCTGCAGTCCTCCTGCTCCCCGCCATCGGGCTCCCTCAGCGTCCCAAGGCCACCTCACCCACCATCATGGCGGCCAGCGGGGAGGGGCTGGCGTCAGCGTTAGACAGTCCAGCCGTCTGTCACCGGATGGTCACAGCCTGAGCTCAATCCAACAGCGGCCACACCTTGAGACACACAGACAGGGGACAGTTAGTTACTTGGTCAAGTTGAGCTAAGTGTAGTGACTGTGCTTTTTTCTGGTCGGCCTGGTGTCCGACACAAGTGGAAACCCTGGAGGAGAGGAGAGGGATGGAGGAGAGAGAGATGGAGGGATGGAGGGAAGAACAGAGACTAACGTGTATAACTATATGGCATACAAAGTATTAAGAGTCTCCAACCCAAGCTGAGAATTCCACGCATCCCACCCACACATGGAAATCCCAGAGGTAGAGTTGGAATGGAATGCACTCTCTCTCTCTCTGGAGGGACACATCCTGCTTACCTCATTCCGGAAAGTATTAGGCGCAGGAGCCGGGAGGAAAGAGTACATGTGTATACGTTGGGGTTTGCAACTCGGGTGTTTAGTGGACGAAAAGCGACAGCCAATTTGCGCCCAGCAACGTCTCACAAACAGCCATAAAGTGAGTGACTGGTTTTATTTAAGGGAGATTGTTGGTTAGGCATTGGGAGAGAGAGAGAGTCTGTTTTGGCTGAGTGACTGACTGCCTGGAGATAAAATGTGGGAACTCCCCTCCCCTTTACCACTCTGACTATCTGATATCCCATGTCTCACCCTGTTGTTCAGGGAGAGGAAATGGACGACAAACATCATCAGCCAACTTCTGGCAATTTAAACAAAATACATCAAGTTAATTCATATTTTCAGTTTTGATATGAAATAAGAGACGTCGAGAAAATGTCGGAGTTAAAGGGGTTGGCTTGGCAATGCTGTGGCAAGTTGGCGGACAGGTGGAACGGAGATGATCCCTTTAATGTACAGCCGTTTAATGTTAATCCTCACCAATCAACCAACAGCTGGTGGGAGGAGAGAGCAAGAGGTTCCCACGCTCTACACAGCTGCTGTTATTAGTGCAGATCCTCACACTCCCAGCACAGGCTCTGCTGTTAATATACACAGGACATACAGAGGACACACATATAATATATGTAACTGCAACTTGCAATTAAAAGTGAGGATGAGGATCTTGAACGTGATCTCCTGGGGGAGGGGGAAGACAGTAAAGTCAGGGTGATAGGCCCTCGGAGCTCAGTATACGATAGGGTTGGAGGAGACAAGAGAGAGAAGGGGAGAGGGGAGCAGACGGAGGGATTTGTAGGCAAGGGCGAGGAGCTTGATATCGATTCTGTGGGAGACAGGGAGGCAGTGAAGCCTAGCGAGGATTGGGTTGATGGGGGTGTGGAGTTTGGTGGAGGTAAGAGTGAGGATGCGGGAGATGTAGGATTGGATGAGTTGTGGCTTGGAGACAGAGGAGCGAGGGAGACTAGTGAGGAGTGTGATGGACAAGTCTGAGCGAGAGGTGATGAAGGGGTGAACAAGAGTTTGGGCAACATTTTACCAGCGATGTGAACAAGCGTGGGAATGCTGAAGCCTGCTCGGCCCCTGTGCTGGGCTCCCTCAGCCGTGTGAGAGCTTAAATAAACTCCTCATCCATTATACATCCACAACCATTGTCACAGGAACCCAAACTGCCAGTCACAGGTATGCCTCTCAGTCACACCCTCACTGTCAGGGTAGCGAGGAAGCTCAACACAGCACAAGACAAAGAGGGAGTGTATTGTCGAGTCCTGTAGCTCGGTGGTTAAAGCGCTCGCCTCGCAAGCGAGGGGGCCCAGGCTCGATTCCCGGGCCGGGCGAAACCTTAGGCAAGTTCCCTTACTCCACACTCCTGTTTACCGGCAGTAAATAGGAACCCGGATGTTAGTCATTTGGCAGATCGCTTTCCAGGAGTAATAATCCCTCCAAAAAAAATTAAAATAATTTGGTCACTCAATCTACAACTGTTTGTGTGACCCTGTTGTGCGCAAATAGCTGCCGTGTTTCGCCCACAAAATACACAGTCACTACACTTAACAGTATTCTCCGTGAAGCACATTGAGACGTCTGATTGACGTGATAAGGTGCTATATCAAATGCAAACATTATTAATATAGAGCGAGAGAAAGGGGGGGGAAGTGTAGTGACTGTTTTTGGTAAGTAAATATTCGGCACACAGCGCCACCCACTATTTTATATTATTAATAATATCCCTGACATCTGATATAGTGCCTTTCATGTGGGAGGAAATCTCAAAGCGCTTCACAGGATATACTGTAACCTGCAGTGACTGTGTGTTTTGTGGGCGATACGTGGCAGTCAAATTGAGATTGTCAGCGAGAACACTGCGAGAAACTCCATTCTCTTTTCGAATAGTGCAGCAGGATCTTTAACATCAAACTAAACAGCCAGACAGTTAGTTTAATGTCTTATGTGAAGGAATGTGGTTAGAGTAGAGAGCTCCAGTGGGGGAGCGAACACCAGCACAGACACGATGGGGAGAGAGAGAGCGGGGAATGGGATTAGAGTAGAGAGACAAGAAAGGTAACAAAGTCGAATCTTCCCCAGTGGATGTCCTCTGATGTAAAGTTGTAGCAGGTGTTGAGAAGGGGCTTGAAGGAGCCAAGGGAAGGGGTGCGATGCCTAGCTGCTCTGTCACTGAACTCGTGATAGCCCTCGGCTGCCTCAAACACTTTATTTAAAGTTACCGTCCATAATATATGAGCACAAAGCAGTGAGCAGTAACTGGAGCCTGTGACATTTCCCTCAACAGTAACCAACACGAGCTGACAAGCATCCGAGTCAACAGGCATCACATGGGGCAACAACAAATTATGTTTATATAGCGCCTCTCACGAAGGGTAGCGTCCCAGAGCACTTGACCGTGGCGGAGCCTGACGCGGAGCCGGGAGGAGGTGACCGTAAGCACGGTCGAGAGGAAGATCTTTGGGCGCGACATGAAAATGGGGAAGGAGGGGGCAAGGCAGAGGGGGAGAGAGTTCCAGAGTTTTGGGGGCGTAGTGGCTGAAAGCGCGGCCGCTGACGGTGGAGCAGAGGGGACGAGGGACAAGCAGGAGGTCAGAGTTGGCCGAGCAGAGGCAGCGGGTGGTGGAGTGAGGGGGTGAGTAGGAGACTCTGCGGTGTCCCTCTCCATCCCATGTTGGCGGGTGTGACGTGTCATTGCTAACTACACCAGTGACAGCACTGATTACACTGCACTCCAGCCCAGCAGAGAAAATAGATAGGGCGCGGGGGGGGGGGGGGGGGGAGAGGGAACAGGAAGAAGAGAGATACAGGTTAGGTGGGAGATGCTTTTTAGCATCAATGATGTTACATTTAATACAGCATCTCATCAAGTTATCGAGACGTCTGAAAGCGCTTTACAGGGACTCTGTACAACACGAGCTGACAAGCATCCGAGTCAGCAGGCATCACATTCACTGGGGAAGATCAGACTTAGCTTTCCAAAGGGAACTAGACAGATATCCAGACAGAATCAGCTTCAGGGGTATGAGAGTGTGGGTGGTGGGGAGGGGGGGGCGGGTGTGGAGCCAAGGATTGCTTTTCAAAGAGCACAGACACAATGCGCCAAATGGCCCTGTGTCATATAAATCCTGTAGCTCAGTGGTTAGAGCACTCGCATTGCAAGCGAGAGACCTGGATTTGATTCCCAGACAGAGCAAAACGTTGGGCAAGTTTCCTTACTCCACACCCCTCTGTTTGCCTTGCAGTAAGTAGGAACCCATTTGTTAGTCGATTGGTGGATCGCTTTCCGGCGGTAATAATCCTTCAAAAAAAATATTATTTTAAATAATAAATTGTCATTCAATCCAGGACTGTTTGTGGGACACTGCTGCGTGCAATTGGCTGCCGCGTTTTGCCCACAAAATACAGTTACATCACTTAACAGTATATTCTGTGAAGCTCTTTGAGGCGTCTCAACGACATAAGGCGCTGTATCAAATGCAAGGATTCTTATTATTCTTTTACACCAGTCGGTGCCTCCGGAGAGAAACTCGTGATTTAATAATAATAATAATCCTTGCATTTGATGTCACGCCTTATCACATCTTCGAGACGTCTTAAAGTGCTTCACAGAGTACACTGTGGAGTGACTGTGTATTTTGTAATTGGGACCTGCAGTTTACTAGCCCCAGAGATGGCTGGGGAGAATCCTGTGAGGAAGTGAGAAGCTGTGAGCTGGGATTTAGAGCAACAGCAGACATCCCTGCCTGGAGGGCAAGGACGGGTGTGAAATAACAAGAGGCCTTGTGTGGGGGTCTGTGTTGACCACAGCTGGCACACGCCCAGCCCAGCTCCAACCCCAACCCCAGCTCCCAGCCCAGCTCGGCCTGAGAGGGTCTCCGCTAAAGTACAGCCTTTCTTCCCTTTTCTCT